CAAAATAAGTATCAGAACAAGCAGCGCTGGTATTGTGTTTTTAATGCCACTCAGTATAGATCAGGAGAAGAATGACAGGCTGAAATTGGATCCCAGTGGTACAAGAGTACATCTTCTCAGTTAGAGGTTAGTGGACTTGTGTTAATATTCTGTGAGATACTGTAGTTTAAACATAATGAAAGAGACCTATGCTGTTTCATTTGTGCCAGATGTTATATTCTATACTTTTCTCTATGATATCTGCAATTCTATTTTTTCTGCTGTGCTCTTAGGAACAGAAATGGTATTATTGTCATCTCTGTAGTATTTTATTGCATTTTCTGAATAAGCCGTTTTAATTCTCCTTGCAGGGCAAGGTGTAATGCTTAAATTCCGTTTTTAGTTGTGCTCTTAGTTGTGATAGCTTGAGATACACGTTTCATATTCTGTATATATGTTTCGTTATTTTACCTCAATGTTCAGGAAGTATCTTGTATTTACGGAAAACAGTTGCAGTTGTAATCGGAATTCTTGCATCCAGTCTTGAATGACCTTTACATTTGTTACGATTTGTTTTGTGCATTTTGAAGGGTTTCAGATGAGTGATACTGTTTGACCATTAATACTCTTGGCAGTGTCGTGCAATGCTTGTTTCGTGCACTTAATAAGGTTAAATTAAGGGACGCGGTAGTTAACAGTGAAGTTCGAACCCCGAGCCCTTTGTGTTCTTTTTTTTAGCATCACAGATCTTTCACGTTAATTTTTACATCCTTTTGTTTTAAAGAATTGGAAACACATTTTAACATCTTGTAAAATAAGAGTACCTCTCTGGTGGAATTCAATTCTGGTGCACGTACTGTAGCAAAGAGCAGCATTCAGTGTTATCCTTTGCGGTTACTCGCAGCTAGTAGCAAATTAAAGCACTTTATTGCTTTAAGTTTTTATGAAAAAATCACGTTTAAATGTTCACTAATGCTTTTCTTTTCAAGCAGTATTAATAATGTAATCCAAACTGTAAACTGTCGTTTATTGTTATTGTTATTATTAATATTATTATTATTGTAATGTTTCTATGTAAAAATAGACGTTCCAGGTGTTTTTGTAATACAATAAAGGACATGTAATATTGTATCTAGTATTGTTTATACAGTAGCAACATAAAACTTTTTTCTCAGAGGTAAAACGTAAGCCTGTAAAGGCATAAAATATAGAAGCCTGGTCTGATTTGTTTCAGGTGTTTTTCTTCTTAATATAGACACCGTGAACTATCGATTACTATCGATTAACCTACCACAAGGAGCCCGCATTCCGTAGATTAGAAACCCGGACATTATTACGGAAACTAAATTGTTTTTCCCATTTCCTTTTTGATCAACAAAGACTGTACCTGAATGTGTTTTTGTTTGCGGGTGTCAATAAAAGTTGCTTTCAGTGTTTTGCCACGTTCACGGTGACTACGATCATAGGCCTAATCTTTATGGATTGATCTAAATAAAGAAAAATTGTAATAATGTCTGTCCTCTCACAGATAGTGGAAATGGTATTGGAAGAACAAAGTTTAATGCACAACGTTCGAAACAAAACACAAGTTATTTTGAGACACACCTTTGTATTTTGTTTAATTCATTTTCTCCCCGTGAGATGCAAATCATTGTTATTTGCATTAAATACTAGGAAAAGGGAAGGGGAAAAAATCCCAAAGCGTTTTCGAGGAAATAGATGGCAAATTGTGATATTCTGTTTTTTATCTGTGGTAATGATGTGCTTCTTGTCCTCGACGGTAAAATGTACTGTTCCAGGTGTCTAAATGATCGACGGCATGACAGTTGTGAATAATAGACAGATGAACGATGACGTACTTATTCATTATTAGAATATGAATGTTAACGATTTAAACGTGGCAATCCCAAAGTGTACTTATTAGAAAAACGGGACTGGTTGAGACATTTTGGAAAAATTAATAACGTCCTAATTCTCGTGTAGAATTTCACTTGCTCTGTAATTTATTCTTAATAAACTGTACTTTTCCTCATTGATTAAAAAAAATGACACATTCAAGTTTTAAGGCAGCACTACGGAGAAACTACAGGTTATGGATTGGTGAATACAAGTGTACACAGTGGATGTTATAATTAGTTTCAATCGTATGATTTGATTGTTAACACAGTGCAAATGTAAAGAGATGGGTGGAAACCCTTATTTTGAGCAAAAGTGCTTTTTATATTAGTAAATATTTTGTAGGTCCAATCAATGAAAATCAAGGAGTACCATACAAAAAGCTAAATCATTGTTGCTTGGAATTGAAGGTTCTGGCCAAAGTTCATGACGCATAAGATGAATATAATTACTTCATAAGTTCAGTTTTTTAAGTGTTGGGTTTACCCACTTTCAGGACCAATTAACATGATCTCATTAACTCATATCTTTTAGGACATATCCTGAAGAGAACATCTTGGAAACTGTTGGTCTGCATTGAATATTATTACTTCAGAAGGTATCCCAATTTTTCTGTCTTTTCCACATATTTTTGTGTGCTGTGCAAAGTGCTAGTTAAAGTTTTTACAAATGAAAACACTTACAAATATGCAAAAACTTGTTTTATTTAGGTAGGAGGCAATACCTTATGACTACATTAATATTCATAATTTTTGTTTAAATGGACAAATGTACAAGTGATTCACAAATATTCCTGTTTAGGAAAGAAAACTTTTCACACAAGAAGCATTAATGTTCAAAAGGTAACCTATACTTCATAAAGTCACTAACATACTCACCACAAAGAAACAGTACCCAGGTTTAAACATGTTTATGGTCTCCAACATACAGTACAGACAATATACACACTGATTTCATAGACTGCACCCCCCCACACACAGAAAATATTCCTTGATGAAATAATAGGCAACAATTGTGACCTGTAGCTTATGACTGCAGATCAGCCATTCGATTCAAATGTATTCAGCAGTGGTTATCAAGGGATCTTCTTCCTCATATGCAACATACTGTAAGTGTTGCAATAAGGACATTTTCTTTAATATAAAAGAGAGGAAAAAGGTGAAATTGGTAACATATGCAGGTAAATTGTTTTATTGACTTTTAAATGAGCACATCTTAGATTCTATTTTAAGTATAGTTTTTTTTTATTCTAAAAGTGTACTGCGATAGGAATATGTATTGGATTTACTGGTTCTTAAGGGACTGATGAAATATAAATAGTACGAACAATTAGATAAGACAGCCTAGACTACCTGCCCTCTGTCTTTTGATCTGTTAAGCTCAGTTTCAAATGCAATTCCATGGAGTTTAAATGTAAAACAGACGTGGAAGTTAGACGTCAAGCACAGTCTGTACAAAAAAAAATATTTATGATGCTCTGGAAGTCAAACTAGCTGCAGCTATAGGAAGCTATCATGAAGTTCCCACTTGGTATTTCGGTTTTCCGAGAACAGAAACAGTATACTCAGCCTCCTGATGAATAATACATTTGAAACACCTCATCGGGTGGATAAGCAGCTCTCCATTTAATTTCAGAAGCACTGGCTGTAGGTATTACACTTCCAAGTCATGTCTGTGTGGTTTCATGACAGTTCATAGTGTGGTCATTTTCAAGTTGGAATAAATGATAACAGTTTTTAACTTGGAAAGATTATGTCTGAGCATAAAGTTAAACAGGGGGTTTAACTTTATGTACAAATGTACACATAAGTTAAATATTGTTATTTTTATCTGTCCAAGAACATGGGAACTCAATACTATGAAGAACTGTAGACCAAAGAATTTGTCTTTTGGAAGGCAGAGCTAGCTGCAGAATGTTGCACTGTAAGGATTAACAAATAACACTTGGTTGGTAATGTTCACGTTACAAAAAGAAAAAAAATATTTAATTATTAGCTTAGAAAAAAATGATAATGACTCCTTAATGTGTTCTTTGAACACTTTTTGGCATTGGAGATTTCCAGACATTTTTATACATTGACAAAATTTAAGGCACAGATATTGCATTTCTGATAACTTATTCTTATACATAAAACTTCATGGCCATAGTTTAACTTACATCTAATTTTATATTAGATATGAGAAATTTGTAAAACTAATAAAAAAGAAGAAGAGAATTGAACTTTTAGGTATAAGTCTGATTTGACAGTTTTACTAATCAATTGTTCTATTTTTGGACTTATGTACATTTACAAAAACAAACTCAGTGCATTTTTGTGCTTAAGATATCAATATTCTATCCAACACAGATATATGTTTGTTTTAAAATGTTTTAGGGAACTCTACAAGGCATGTTATGTCAAACAAATAAAAATGACATGTCCCAGAATGATTGTAGCATTGCAAATCAATGGTGTAGGGAGAGAAGTCTGTATAAACAGGTCAAAGAATTCTGTCCATGTATGACCGTGAGGTTTCTTTTTTCAGTTTAATTAAACACACCAAAAAATAATAGCAGATCTTTCAGGGCTATGTGTTGGAGAAGCAAAAGAACATTTCTTGAGGCAGTTAAAAACGAGCTTCTAAAAAACAGTTTTGTCACGATCTTGTTAAGAGGAGTTTCGAGAGGCAAAATAACAGGCAACATAAGGAAATGAAAAACAAATGCATGTTTCAGTCCTGGTGCCGACCGTGGCTGTTCAGAGATAAGTGCTGCTGCATAGGTGGACTGTGAAGTCTGTGATGCGTTCCTGGGCTCTAGACCAGTGGAGTCCAGGCCTGATCACTGGACCTCAGTCTTGATGACGGTGGTGTCGGGGGCTTCATTTCGCAGGTCCACTGCAGAGCCGTTTCTCCACGACTGCTCAGCTGCTGCCGCCACCTGGATTGTCCACAAATACTGCTCTTTGGTGAAGAAAGGTGTTTCCCTTCCTGCCAAATTGAGACCAAGAGGAAATGGACATTACTGAACTTCTGCCTACCAGTTCGACAGTGAATTGCTGCTATACTGCACCATTTCTTACACCAGGAACAAAAACGCACTGTATTATATGCGTGAAGAAGACCTACTCTAGTTATTAACTACAGGAGGTTTGGATTCATTTTAAAGGAAGAGAATGAAAAAATCCAAATGCATTCATCAAATGCAACATTTAACAAATGCAAATACATTTACATTTAGTCACTGGGCAGACACTTTAATCCAAAATGACTTTGCAACTGCATCTGATCATGGTGCAAGAAGTGCATATAACAACAAAACCACAAAAAAAATGGTACCATATGAAATAAGACCTAAGATTTTGACATGCCACCGAACTTACAACTGACAGTTCAGGAATTGACAGCTCATCACATAGCAAGAAAATAATGTACTGTTTTATGAATCCTCCAAAATTCCCCTGACACAGTGTATGTACAGTACTCCTAGAAAAAGTGCATCGCAACTCCTTAACATCCCTTTCTCAAGTCCAGGAGGATGAGCTGAGGTAGTGCGTAGCAGTCTCCGAGCTCACCAGCACTGACCTTTGAGAGTCCTGAGGAAGTGGCGCAACAGTTCTCTGTAGGCTTCTCTGTAGCGGTCAGATGTGGACTGTAGGCACAGGCCAGAAGAGGTGCTATGGTCTGAGATTCCCAGAGGGTTCCGGTTCTCCATCTGCAGGGAACCTTCTGAGCCATGGACCTGGCGAATAACAGGACCCAGGAAAACAGCACAAGGTAAGAGCTTTACTCATTCACTTGAATATACAGTACGTCACCCCCAAAACACACCATCAGCCACAATGTACCATTACTACACTGTCACCAGCCACAGCTCAAGACACCCCACATGAAGCAGTCAGCAAGAAACTGACAGGAGGCCATTCTGCCTGTCAGGTTTGCTTGGTAGATAAGTTACATTTCTTTAAGATTTTGTCCAGATACTTCTTAATCAGAGCCCAGAGTTTAGACTTTATCCAGCTGACTCGGAATTCGGTTCCAGGCACTCACAACTCTTTGTGTATTGATGCGTTTCTAATTCTGAGTCCTAAATTAATTCTCTTTCATTTTAGAATTTGATTCAAAAGTCTCTGGGCTGACCCATTCAGCATATTGTAGGATGTGGCTTGGATTAAATCTCCGCCCAATTTCCTTTCCTCCTCATTTAGGAGATGTACTGTACATGCAATCTGTGGGTCCAGCTCCCATCCTTAGTGACAATTAAAGGACAGTTAAAGGTCTATGAAGTCTCTTATAAAACTCTACTTTGCCCCACTGGGCGCATAGAAACTAGTCCCAAAAGGACAGCTGATTTATTTTTACTCAAAAACAGAAAACAAGTGTTTTTTTTAATCTCGTAACAGAAACCACAAAGAATAAACAAACACCTCTCGCTAGAATCTCAGTGACTTCCTGTCTCACTTCCTCCAAACATCTTATCGAGAATCAACATATGTATGTAAACATCGCTGAAATGTCATGAAAACCTAGATTTAGCAAAACACTTATTTTATGATGGTAGAAGGGCATTTCATGCACAGGAGAGGGTCACAAGCTGCCCATCGTCAAAATAACAGTTAAGGAGGCTCTATAGTCAGGGCTCTGAGCTTTTGGTAAACTGGAAAGCTTATTATTCAGATCCTCACTGCAGACACTGCTGTTGTAACCCTAATTGCTGTAGCCCATCCATCCATATAAATGAATACTAGCTTTGCTGGGGGTAACCCACAATCCCATTAGGGGGGTGTCACAGACTCTTTCATGGAGTATGTTTCATACTACTGAAATCAGGAGAGGCTGTGCTGCTGTCCTTCAATGACATACTGTAGCACTGGAAGCAAGCAAGCCTTGGAAAGCAGCTGGAAATGATTAACTTCTCGAATGTCAATGTGCTACGGAAAACTGGAACAACACGAGGCAATTCATCTCTTGTCTCAGAAAAGAGCGAGTCTTTCATTAGCTGCTCTGCACTGGAAAGCGAGGCTTTGTAAACGGAGGGGAGAGAGGCCACTGACAGCGGGTCAGGGCTGGGGCTGGGTGGCCCTGCGTGGCGTGCTTCACACTTGGGACACACACACACACACCTCCAGGCTTTGGTCACAGCTCTTGTTGCAGTGCTGGCTGACATCCAGGGAGGCGATGGCCCCGCTGGGGAATTTCATACTGACGGAGATGGAATCGGCGTCGTTCACCGCGGCCACTTCTGCCAAGACACCGAGCAAGGACAAAACATTCACCGACATCCTTCACCGGCGTTATACTGTGAGCATGGCGTGTGATTTGCATACAACCCTAAGCTTTGTGACATTTAGTCTACATAGAGAATGCGACATCATCTTATGTAGCATTCCAGAGGTTTGAAAACAAAATGCATCACAAGACTGCAAACTACACGAAAATCCAAAGCTTTGGGACATTATACAATACACTGAATAGGAAGAATCACACAACATAGGCTTGATCAATGTCTACAAACATCCACAACTACTTTTTATCTGTCTTTTATCAATGCATACATATAAACTAACATCATGCATGTTTCTGATATACGGTAGAAGCAAAACAGAGCGGAATTGATTAAAAAAACATTAAACTGCTGCTTTTAATTCATGGATCCATTTCAATGCAGGATATTTTAAGGTATTATAAGGGCTTATTGAATTAATGGTCTGCATAGGTATTAAGCGTTAATTTGTCACGTTCAGCTCAGTGTTTTACCTGCACAGAATGCATGTCCCAGAGAAAAGATGGTGTCTGGAGCACTTTCTCCTAACAGCCAGCAGATAATATCAATATCATGTACAGCCATGCTGAAAAAGATCCCTCCTGTGACAAAGTGAGGACATATTGCTTAATAATCATCATCATCATCATCATCTCATAAATTAATACAGCTCTTTTCACCCCTAATAATATCTAAGAGCTGTACATATATGAATGTATCCAGTCAAGTACAGCTCCAACCTGAATGAAGTGTAGCAGCCATTCTGCACCAGTGGCCCTGCTACACAGGTGATCACATCAAAGAACAGAGTCTTTGCTTTGACAATTCAAATAAAGGGGAATTGTACAAGCCCAGAGTGGACTTTAGTTAGGATACCTGGGTTAATACCCCAATTCTTAGGAGCAGTCCATTGAATCTTCACTGCATAGTCCTCTATCGCCATACATGGGGCTCATGAATGAGATTCTGGCCCAGATGGAAGACGTCACCCACTCATCCACTAATCGCTAATCGCTAGAGATTCGCAGGTAATCATTTTCAACTGTTTTTTACTTCACATACAGTGTATAGAAACAGAATGTATGAAGCAAAAAAGTAACATGGTTAACACATCCATGAAGAAAAGACTGCTCACATATCGGTAGATTGTTTTATCAGTATGTTTAATGGTTAAGGTGCTGCTGCTTTTTTAGTTATCCCAAAGAAGTGGTTAGACATCTCAGCAAAGTGTGTTCACAGTTCTGAACCTTTTCAAGTAGGGGTTTTAACATGAACACATACTGAATGTATGGTAACACATTGTGACCTTCTGCCCTTGTGCTATACATTTAAAAAACAACAACATTTGGGCCAGCACTGGTTTAAAATCTCTATAAATCATTAAAACGTAGTGAAGTTTTCGGTATTGTGGTGGCAAAGGGAGATGGCACGGTGGATGAAAAGCTTACCGGATGATTTGATCCTGGCCACAGAAGGACGAGGGTACAGTCGACTCACGGCGGATATCCTCTGAATTCTACCCAAGGTGCCGTTTTCATGAACCCTCTTATACAAGAACTGCAAAGCTGGGTCAAAACGCCTACAATACATATGAATGTGTTTCAATACATCACATTACAGTGAAAAAGTAAGCCTGATGCACACGGTTTTGCAGCGCACAATGCTTACTTGTAAAATCCACACACCAGTGGTTTCCCCAGCCTTTCAGCCTCTTCAAAGCAGGACTCTGCTATGTGTCTGTCTAAACTAGGCAGCTTCTCACAGAACACCCCTTTACCTGGACAGAAGACAGTCAAGGAACAAGATCTTATTAGACCAAAATGAAGACATCTTTGTTTCAGATTTCAGTTTCAAATGTCTAATTCTAACAAGATTTGAAGTAATAAATATCTTCAAATGTTCATCATTAAACTATACTGTTAATCATAACTATACTGTTCAGAAGTCCTGATTAAGTCTTTCCGTCTGGAATGGTATTCTTCTTAAAGAGTTTGCAATATCTTTGTACAGTAAGTACATACAGTAGAGACCTGGTTCAGGGCTTACATTGAAGCTAGAACCTTGGGTAAAAATACATTTTAACACATAGAAATGCCAGATGACCTGGTCATATATACTTTGATCATGCTAAAATAATTCACAGAAGATATATTTTATGCATCGTGTTTTTTCGAAAACAGAAATAAACAAGGCCATACACAGGAGCGTACACGATCAGTCGGGGGGGAAAGACGAAGCCTGTTCCTCAAAGGCACTTCAGTTTGAGTTGTGCCTCAGAAGCCTACCTGCTCGTAATGCATCCAGAACTATGACTGAGGCCTCATTTGGGGGAGAACAAACCACTACTCCTGCGACACTACAAAACAAAAAGAGTCAGACCACAAACTGAAAAAAGCTCCTCAGTGAGAACCCAACATTGAACTGCATCTCAGCTGACTACACCCCAGTCCAGCCCCACTCCCCCCTTCAAAACCCTTTTTTTTACCCCGCTTTTTTTTTACCTGTTTTGCCGGCCCGGAACTTTTTTTTTGGCGGGTTGGGCTTCGGTTCGGTTTTTTTTCGGAACCTTAACCATTTCTTTTCTTTTTTTTCGGGGGTTTGGAAGTTTTTTGCGGGGTTGGTTGGGTTTTGCTTGTTTGCCTTTTCTTTTTTTAGGGGGCCGTTTTTTTTGGTTTTTTTTGGGAAATTGGGTTTTTCCACCGGCCTTCGGAATTGATTTGTTGGTTTGGTTTCGTTGTTTTTTGACTTTGCAACCGGCAGGAGTTTGTTTGGTTAGGCTTTTGAATTGGGTTTTTTTTTGGGACGGCGGCTTTGGGCTTTTTTTTTTTTTTCGGCCTTGTTGAACGGGCCCCCCCCCTGCTCAGACCTTGTAGCAGCTTCAGAGTCATACCGTTGGTCGCTGAGCACGATGTCAGTGTCAATGGCACGAAGCACGCGGGTATGAGTAAGATGCTCTTGGCTAAAGAGGCTCTCGACTTCCCAGCGCTGGTCCTCCACGATATACAGCAAGTGGCACCCACTCTCCTCTACCAGGCTCTGGCACAGGGCCCTGCTGCCGGAGCCAACGCCAAAGAGCGCCAACCCAACTCCCAGGCCACCTGGCAACCCTCCCCCGGAGCTGTGCCGTCCGGAGGACACACTGTTAGACGCCTCTGTCACCACCAACCAGGGGCTGGAGGACCATGCCAGCAGCGGGGGGCTCTTGACTCGAGAGCCGACCAGGCCCTTGTTTGAGGTCATAGAAGGGGCGTGGTCAACCTGTGTGGAGGCGGAGCTTCCATTAGCAGTGGAGCTGATGCCACTGGGGCGGGGCGGGACCGCTGGTTGGTACTGGGAGGCTGGAGGCGGGTGGGCACTGGTGCTTGTGGAGGAGCAGTGATTTCCATGCAGGATCAGCTGGGACTGCAAGGCCAGGGGGGGAGTGGAGTCTAGCTTGACTGGTATGCTGGGGTGGACGTCGGTTGGCGAAGGTCTGCAAGGAACGAAAAGGTTTATTTTTTATCTCATTTTTAACAAAAGTAGAACAGAGTTTATTCCTTGACTAAGGCATAGGTGTATTTTTCCAGACATTTCCTTTCACAAGGGGGCCTTGCTCCGTTTTTCAAAGTGTACAAGAGAGGCAAAAGACAAACTGTAGTACAGCAAACCTTGAATCTGTAGCGATTAATCACTTGTGCTTTCTGACGATGTGCAGCGAAGTCATGCTGCAGTATGTTGTATTTGATGTCTAACGAGACCAAAGCATTAATGCAATACCAGAGATGAAATGCCAGGGTGCAAAGTGCAGAGCTGGCACCAGAGTTATTCACTGCCAGTGCACGGCGCAGTAAGAGGGGGGGACTCTATTTCTGCAGGTTTTTAAAGAAAGCTAATCTCTTTCCCGCCCTCTGTTTACTTTCAAACCCAACGGTGGCAAATACAGGACATCTGTCGCTAGGCAACAGGGTAGCTGAATGGACCAGGAGCCATACATGAGAAAGGTAAGGTCTCACTTTTCACCACCGTTAGCAGTGACTTCCTGCTTACAGAAACCGTCTGGGTTTTACAGTTAAAGCAGTTGATTCTGTCTCTGAGACGATGCTGTGGGCACAGAAGAATATAAGGAAGGCCGTAAAAGAGAGGAGGCCATTGTGCCCATTTTCTTCATTTGATAGTTTTAGTTTAGTGAATGTAAAACTCATTCCAGTCCCTTCCTGACGTGGAGCAGAATTTAGTGTTTAAATACAGTAGCTGACTGGGAATGCTAGACACCCTGCAGTTCTTGTTCCCTATTCTAAATGCATTCCCCTTTTGTTTAACTGTGACTCTGTGTCCTTGTTATTGAAGTAGTTCCCTAGGTTGACTGTCTGCACCACTTAGGATTTGATATACGAGTCTCCTTTTTTCTACACTTTTAGCTCTTTTGACATGTATGACAATCTCCCAATCCTCCTTGTCACTCTTCTTTGAACTCTAAGGTTTTAATATCCCTATTTTTGTGGTATTGTGATCAAAGCTGACCCCAGTCCAAATTAGGTCTTACTAATGCGTAGCAAGGTTTGAGTGAGAAGAATGCACATAAACACCCAGATTCCTTCCATGTGCGACCTCCTGTAGCTTCTGATCGCCCTTGTGATGTTCACAGAATACCTTATTGGTCCCTGCATAAATCACTATGCAATTTTTACAATTTATGTACATTTTCCAAATGTGTAACCAGTCTATGGTTATATCAACAATCTATGTTGTTGATATAGACCTAGAAGAGCATTGGGCTTAAAATAGATCCCAATTAAAGTAGTACCATTAGTAGTTATATTCCTTAAATGACTTGTTGTTCCCTATTTATTCAGTAGTTTTCATTCTGTGGCTTATACACCTTAGATTACTGACACTTTTAATTTAAAACCTTGTCATTTATGTAGGAGCCCAACAAAAGCTTTCTAGAAATCTATGTATGTCATATGCTTTACAGGTATTATCTATAATTGTAATTCAAAGTCGTCTACGAAGATGATTAAACAATCCCATCTTTTATTAAACAAACTCATGAAAATGTAAATTACTACAAAGTGAAAGTAATATTGAATCCCATAAAAACACTGATTTAATAACCTAACAAACCTAAACAACCTAACGAACCAAACACTTTTTTCTTCAGACTGTCCCTGAGATTTATGTGTGTACTGCAAAAAAAAAATGGTTTTCTTCTGCACTCCATGTTCTGAGACACTTGCTTTCTTGTCCTTCCATGTTGGAATCAATCAAAGCTGTACAAAACACATCCATTCAGAATTGATTCAAAAGCAATTACACAGACTAGACATCAGGAAACGGACAGCAAGGTTTGGAAAGCACACCTGTTTATTCTGGAACGTGCAGCACTGGAAGACGGGTGAGGTTATTCTGCTTTCCTCTGCCCCTCTCTGCCTGCACATCAAGAGGATGAGATCAGCAGTCCTGGTGTAAGGGACTGCAGTTCAGTCCTACCCCCTTGTCCATTTCAGGTTCTTGCAGGGAGGAGTTTAATGATTTGCTTTCACTGGGACTGGCTGAGGACTGGCCCCAGAGTGGGCTTCATGTGACATGCCTGGCCTGGCCATGCCAGAGCGATGTTAGAACATGTAGACTAAACCCATTTTCCACAGGCACATCCAAGCTGAGTTAATGCCACATCTGTACCTACCTGAGAAGAACTGACGCAAGTTGGATATTTCTGCGCTGTATTGTTGGAGCCATACCTCTCTGAGAGAGCACCAGCCATAACCAGATGCTTTTTGTACTCCTTGTGGCATGGCTTCTGGTGTCAGGTTATGCCGGTTTTTGTTCATTCCAAACCATTTTGTACATAAAGCATTTTCTTCTGGATTCCAGATCTTTTAGAATGCCGGAAAGTCCCCCCAAATCAACAGTGGCGAGAACTGTTCTGCACATCTGCAGAACTGTCTAGCAAATGTTCTGCACATCTTCAGCAGAACAGAGCTAAATGTGAACATACAAAAGGCTACAAACAAGAAAAGGTCATTTGGCGTGTTGAGCCTGTTTGTTTGCTTGTAGTTAATTGATACAGGGCTCTCTTGAGAGCCATTTCTTGAAGAAAGCCAGAGTACTGGCTTCAACCACATGGCTGGGTAGCTTATTCCGTACTCCCACAACCATGTGAGTAAAGGAGTGCCTCCTATTCTAATTTCTAATTGCACTTCTACAGAGTTCCCAGTTGTGTCCTTCATGCTTCATTGTTCAGTCTGAAGACGTCCTCTAGGTTGACTTTGTGAATGGCTTTGAGAATTTTCAATATTTGTATGGTCTTCCCAATGTATTCGCTCTTCAAGACCGAAATGTTTCAGTTCCTTCAGCCTATCAGTGTACGGCATTTCTTTAAGTCTCGGAAGAGCATCTGGTTGCTCTTCAACATGCAGCTTTAACAAGTGTAGAATGTTTCTTTCTTCTTTTACAACACTGCTGGATACCACTTTCTCTACCCCTCCCACTGTGCCCCACGCTGTACACTGACAGAGCAGTGTGATAACGTAGCATGATAATGGAATTCAGAAATGTTATTTCCTTGTTAATTAAAAACCGTTAATCATACACTTCTGAGAGCTGTATCACGATGTCTTCCTTCTTCCTTACATGTGTTCCTGGAATTTCATTGTGTAAACTCTCCTTTGCAGGAAGTGCTCTTTTGGGAACTTTTCTTGCTCTGTTATTTTTAATTTCTTGTTTTGGTTTCATAATTTCCATTTACAGATGGAAAGAGATTAAGGCAATTATCTTCAAGACCACACATTTAAACCCAGGCTTACCCCCTCCTCTGTGGGAGAAGCATACAACAGCTTATATTACTAAAGGATAAAACCAAATGTATAGGAATTCAAACATTTTCAAGATAAATCTTTATTTCCCCTCACTGCAACAATACTGTGCCTCTGTGAGCTGCCTCTTCTGAAAAGTGCTTGACTTAATGAGGTGGCACAAAAGTTTAAATTCCGCAGAAATGTATTCATTGTATTGCAACATTAGAATGTGCTGACAAGGTTCTGCAGTATGAAAATTAACAGCAGCTTTTATTTCTGTTAAACTTTAAGCATGACTGTCTGTTCTTTGTGAAACGATATCCTGTTCATGTCATATGTGATAAAGATTAGTAAATTGGTGTCAAGGCCAAATCTGAACTTCCTTAAATGTTTACAGCTCACCAGGAAACAAAATGGGTACATATCATTTTTGTTCATCTGTATTGGTGTCACACATTATGAATGAAAGACCTACTGTATATCATGACCTATACTCCGTTTCGATTTGTACCAGTAGTTGATTTAAAATGGTGGCACATTTCTGAAAGAAACACAGAGACATGTTGTTGTTACAGCGAGGAGAATTTTTATAGGGCATATTTCAGAGTGTCTGGAGTGCTTAATGTCACTGACACTTTCGATTACAGCAGCATTTGCTATATAGTAATGAGAATTTAGCAAGTCATGCTAACTGTATGTGCAAAGCCCCAAATAACGGTTACATTTACAAATGCTGCCTCCAAAAAATGTTGCATTGCTGGGATGATATCTAATTTTGTTTTTTACAAATAATAAGAACTGATTTCAATGTATACCTAAAAATAATGTCGACATCATTTAGTAGTAGTGTTGTGCAATGGGTATTGTCTTTTCTAATCTAGATGCTCTAGTTGACAAAAAAAGGAAGGTTAAATATATCTGGCCTATCCTTTCTCACTTTCTCTGAGACAAATGCCTAATTATAGGTCTGACTGTAAAGCAGAAAATAAAAGCATATGACAATGAATGAGATAAGGAGTTGCTCCCTCATGCAACCCAAGGGTTAATACAGTTTTTTTTTTTGTCACGTTCTTATTCAAGCTATTTTTACACCAGGGCTAAAAGGTTAACCAAATTTATTTTTTTTCCGTGGGCCGTAATGCTTGATGGTATTTAAGAAAAGGCAGGCAAGAGGAAATAACTGCAGAAATGCCTCCGATACTGGTGTTAAAATAGACTTAATAAAGCAGAGTAAAATTACAAGGCAGTGGAAAACAAATGCAGCCTAGCGAAGCCTGGATTAAAGGCCATATTACATAAAGGCCCTACTTTGCAAAGACAAGTTTGCTTCAAAGGCCTGACAGACTGGGGTAGCTACTCAGATTTTCCACTTCATATCTTCTCTTGCCTTCTTAACTGGAGACGTAGAATGGTCTCCTGACACAGTTTAACCGGACCAGCGTACTTGTGGGGGTGTTCTGCTCTGCTTGGTTCTGACTTAAATACCACTTAAAGGTCTGATTTTTTTACTGCAGCACCCCACGGGTTGGAATGTTGATCATAATCTTGTGTAACAATCATAGATTATTGTAATACGAATGGTGGAAAATGCAGCACAGGCAGGAAACTTATTTCCAATCTATATGCTTATAAACCTTGGGGGGACTCTCTGGAGATGTTGTTTGGATGCAGAAGTCAATATCTCTTTCACTTTTCAGGTGAAATTTCACCTTTTTTTTCTTCTCACTAATGAAAAGTAGACCACAAGAATTAATGGAGGGCTTGAGAATTCTGTTAAGAAAGTTGTATCTGCAAATATGTGGCCCCCTCCCACGATCTGATTGTTTAGGTATACTGTTGAAACTAAACTATATCTTTAAATAAATTAAGGGTTCACTGAATTACCCTTAATATTAATTTACACAAACATTAGTCTGCAGGAAACTGATCTTTTAGCTCTAATTGCCACCAAAAATTCTCTATACTGTATGTTTGTATACTGTATATGAAACTTTAAATCATATCAAATGGAAAGTCTATATGTTCAATTTAAAGCCAAGAATAGGAGGAACTTCTTTATGTGGGAATATACAACAAGCCACCCAGCTATGCTGTTGAAGAGGCTGCTTGGTTTTCTTCAAGAAAAAGCTGGGTGAGATCTTTGGATCAATAAGATAGTAACTACCAAGTGTGCCAACTGGGATGAATGGTCTGGTCTCACTGGTTAGCTCAATCAGTATCAAGTCTGTTACTGAGATTACATGTTGCTTCACTCAATATATCAATTTTTATTCATGCAGTATAGAACACCTTTCAATGTATACCTAAAAATGTCAACTAAAATGTAAATGGTAAAAAAAAACAGTCACAATGAAAACAAAACGCGATTTGTTTTTCTCCGCAGCAGTAGAATTAGAAACATCATTTCCATCTGACTAATCCGTCTGCAGATCTAAAAAGGAAGATTTGGGGATTTTAGGTGATATTGATGTTATTTTAAAAAATGCCAGGGTTTTTGTTTTATTGTTTTTGAAATATAAAAGGTTTTGAGGACTTTCAGTCTCAACGCTGACATAACTATTTATGCCTCAGAGCCAGTTACGGCAATCCTTCTCTGAAATTTTACAGCCAATGGAAACACTTCCAAATTTGTTAATCACCTATCAGATCACATTCTTTTAAATTATGTCTTTGAGGCTAATTTAGAATAATGTGTAATATGTTCAGGTTTTCGTTTGTGAACCCATGTCATGATGCCATGGGTACTGTCAAAAAACAGAACAGGCTCATTATGTATTGTTTTAATCCTGCCCACTCTCATACTTACATGAGGAAGCAAAAAAGGGTCATGTCAAGCACGAGAATATTTGGATTTAATTAGGATTCGTGAAGATTGTGGGTTAAAAACACAAGTGAACACTGCTGTGGTGTCCTTAGACTGCTCCAGCAAAGTGCAGTGCTGTAAAAATGGGGGTGATTTCTATAACTTCTGATAACAGTCAAATAAAATTAAAATAATTATGATGTTGCCCTGGTTAGAATTCTAATAAACTGTAGTGTGAATATGCCTGAAAATGTAAAGTATAAAATGTTTTAACAATAACAACTATGTGACTGGTCTTATTCTCTTCTGAATGACTTAACCCAAGTATCATAAAGTTGTTGTACAATACCGTAATCAAGAGAAAACGCATCTGTATTTAATATGCATGGTGTTCTCAGTCAGGTAGAAGCTCTATTTATCACGGAGCAGTGCAAAATACCTCAATTAGAAACTTTTTTGGATATATTACTCACATTAAACACGCTTACAAGGTCTATCATTACATGCTGCTGTGTGCCCACTGTACCAACAGACCGGCAGGGGAGTTTTAATACTGTACATTGGACCGAAGTTAAAAAGGCCCCAACCAGCACTGGTTACTTAAGTGCAATTGTTCATTTATCCTTCCTGTACTCTCGTCGCCTAGGGAACAGTTATTAAGGGGAAGGAAGGTGCAAACACAGACAAGGACAAGCGTTATCCGAAACGTAACATCCTGTTTACCACAACTTGACTCACGTTAAAATGCATGGAAAGATTAAAAGAAACTCGGCATGTTTTGTGAGGTGGTTTTAGGAAGTGTCGTTTTGGGAAGGCAGGGGAGGATGAAGGAAGTAGGAAAAGGTCAGGGGGATGAATAAACAGTACACAGCTACATACATAACCAAGCAGCATATGTATGTGTTGTAAACAAATGGCATTACAGCTGATGTGAAATTAAAAACGGCTGGTCTGCTCAAGCAACCCCCCCGACAGAACAGTTGTGCTTCCGTCCAGCATGAGCTGCGAGGGCTGGCTCTCACGGATCAGCGCCTGCACGGTTTTGCGGCATTCAAGCGCGTAGGCAAAGCGAGCTGAGTGGTGCGCAATAAGCGACACCGGCACGGTCTTACGGGGACGTTACACCGGAGAGACGAGCACTGCGGGAGCAACTGGACTTACATGAGCGTGGGCTTTCTCTCCCACTGTTGCTTGGCGAGCCGCCTGTTTCGGTAGTGCCTGGCTGAAGCGAGGTGCTCGAGAATCCTGTCCCTGCGGACCCTCATGGGGATCTCGCAGGATTTACAGTACAAGATTTCCACCAGGGTCCTCTCCCCGGACTCATGCTGCTCCACGACATGCCTCTTCACGGCCAAATCGGTGAACTCGGCGGCGTAGTCGTGCAGGGTCTTTTTTTTCCTCCCCATCGTGAGGGGACGGGAAAGCGGTAACCAATGGTTATACTGCCCGACTCTAATCCACGGACTCACCCTCCTTCCAGGGAAGGTATATGGCACCCAAACCCGTCACCAGATGACAAAACCTAACTGAACAAAGAAACGCGAATCGATTCCGCTTTGCATGAGCGCATCACCTCATGCAAACCGCCATCAGATTACGCTGTTATTGTTGCTTTGTTTTTCTGTAATTGCAGTACAGTCAAAACGAAAGATTTTTTTTTTCTTTAAGGGTTTTGTAGCTTCTGTATTTGATTATTTTTCCGGTATTCGACGATACTTCCTCCCAGTTCGTCCGTATTTTTGTTTTCCCCTTCGGTGTTTATCAAGTTTGTGAAGCGGTTATTATCCCAGCTTTGACATTGTTTGTCGTTTCCTTCCGCTGTCTTTGCCTCGCAATACTTTATTTACACCGCAGATTGTAACGACTCTTTTGTGCAACAGTTAAATTAGGTTGCACAATTTTCCTCGTTTCCAAAACACCTCACAAGATTCATGTGCAGCGCAATCCAATTTCCTTTTCTTGTGGACGTTTCCTTCCATACTCTTCCCTCTTTATTAGAAATATCTTTTTTGTTCTTGCATTTCCGTTTCTGTTATTCTCAGCAAGCAGTAGCATTTCTTTCAACTGGCCCGACCTTCGTATTCCTTCTAGGCTTCCACGATTTGATGCCAACTTCCTCGTATTTCGCTTCTGTTAAGACATGTTAACTTTCCCTTTTCCGACAAAAAAGGCAGAACTTTCACACCAACTCAACAGAACGAATGGGTTTTAAGGAAATAAAAAAACACCGATGCTATATTCCTTTTCTTTTGTTAAGTGTCTTAATATATCCCCCCTTATACAATATCATACCAAGACGTACATTTCATCTGTCTGGTGCGAGAATTTCGTATTCCGCTATACTACTGTCCCTACTACTACAACTAGATTACTAAACTATCTCCCTCCCCCTCAAACAAACCTTTGCGGTCCTAAATATACGTTAGAAAAGCCCCCTCCCCTCTCCGGATCTGATGAACAACTCAAACACACGCATAAAGGAACTGGTTTTTACTACCTCTGGTCTGAATCCCACTATGGGAAGGACGCACCGGTCCCCAATCTTGGTATCACCATCTGCAGGACTGGAGGGATAATATCAGGGAAGCTACCATGCATTTGTTAGCTCTTGAACAGAAATACTGTACCACCTTCACCCCTTAGTGCGAAGTGACGCACACCTAAGAGCTCAGCATCGGGTAGAGTGTCACAGATAATTTCTGAGGACCCCCCCTAACTTTTTGGGATACTGGTGTACAGGAAACTTGTTCCCAGAGCCTGATTTTATTTTTAAAAAACGCCGTGACGAGGTAGATCTCAGCTTCTTGGGTGCGACTGATTTTCAAAGGGTTTCGTTGCGGCCAGCTTAACCCAGGGAAAGTTTTTGATGATATCGTATCACATACATTCCCTGTAATAACTGATTATGTGCATTCCTCATGACGTTTACGGTGTTATAGCCCCTATGTATCTACGAGTAGACATGTAAAGAAATTGACCTACCACATCATGAATATAATACAGTATGAAGTAATTTAACTTTAATTTGGAGGACCTATATGTTGGTATAATTTAGTAAAAACTATTTTTTTGCGTAGTTGGGCGTAATGATTAATGTCAGGAAGAAGCAATCTTAGGCGTCGGTGTGGTCTTCAATACATGAACAGCTTGCTTTTCGTAATTTGTAGAATTATTCCCAATTTTTTTTCCCACCAAGAATAAACAGGTTTCTGATAATTGTTAGATGAGACAGTAAGTAGTCAGAAATACATTCTAAACAGATACAAGGATTACCGGCCTGTGGTACAGGAAATACACTGCTGGCAATTGTCCACGGTAGAAAAGAAGAGATTTTCAATTTCTTGATTGTAAGTCTATTTGCGTTGGTTTTATCAGCGATAAAAAAGCAACAACTGATCTGTCCGAAAAGGACATATCACAAATACTTCTCAACCACTAAATCTTATGAATACCATATTAAAAAAAAAACATAGATCGTGTGGTATGTAGTATTATACTAGTATTATACAGTCCTGGGCAGCCTTGAATCCCTAACGTTCGTGAATGTACTGTACCTGGGACTCGTGTTACCTGAGCTACCGTCACCCAGAGCAACTCAAAACTCGTATGGCGCCACCTACTGGATATCCGCAGAATCAATATTAATTTAATTTGTCTGAGCATTAATTAACACTAAACAGATTTCCCTTTTAAAAGGAAAGCAGGATTTCTAAAAAAAATACTTTCAAAGAAATGTATTCGGACTGTCAGCGTTTGTGATGTTGGTGCACCTTACTACAAATAATCAGAGAACTAATTGTTTAAGTTTGACCTCTGTAACAAACATTTTCTCACCAAACATGAAACTAAGGGACTGACTGCCGTTATTGTAATTTCTGAATTAGTGTGTAAGGGTAAAGGGTCTGGCAGACTTTCAAAATATAAACGTGGTCTAAAAACGATGTTACGTTGTTGTGAAAATACGTATTTAATAATATTGTTCTTTTAAAAAGGTCTTCAAAAAAGTAATGTCCTTTTGCTTGATGATATCCCCTCTACTGAATAGGCGCTATTTCTGTCATTTACCTAGTGGTAATTAATATTGACAATGTTTTTTTTTTTCCAAAGAAGTTATTTCAACGAAATCCATAATATTTATTTCTTTTGTGGCACGTACAGGGCGGTGAACATATTTTCTCTGAGATCGACTGGTCGTCCCTGTCGTATTTCCAGAAAGAGGTCTCGCGGAAGCAGTGACGTGTTCACATTCTGGGGGGCTGCGCGAGAGCAAGCTCAAGCGGAAAGTGACACAGCGGCAGTAGCAGGTAAGGGACTCGCTGAACACTCGGACACCAAGTCATATATTTGCTAATGAATGGGCAATATTGGACATCTGTATTTGGAAATGTGCAGTGCTTCAGCACTGACGATTTAAAGAAACATTGCGTGGAAATTCACCCTCTTGGATCACAGATCGGTACGAGACTATGCTTCTTAGTCTATCATAGGGTTGTGCTTAGCCGGAAGTGAGTTGTTCAGTTCGCGCAGTGCCCTCTGGTCGTTGTAGTTTTCGATTCATGTTGTCTGTGGTGTTTTGGCCGGGCCTTATGAAGCAGTGGACTACAACTTCCACGGTGCATCGAATAAAGATTGACAGTGAGCGCTATTCCGATGCACGATGGGAAAAGTAGTGAAGAGGTTATTCGTCGGCTGCTTCGGTGGATGGAAGCGGTTTGAAAACGAAACTACAAATTCCAGACGGAGTTGTGTTTTTGTCGGATCGAGGTAGAAAGACCCGTCATAAGGAATTGAGTTTTTCATTTTTAGATTTTTAATTTCACACAGCACTGCTTTTACCCAGTTATAACTGTATGTTTTGTCCAGATTGATGACTGACGTGTAATCCTTTATCTACCCTACGGAAGAATTCCATTGACGTACTCGTACTGTAGTGGAGCTTAGTGACAGTACGTTTTAAACACACCGGGAACTGCCGTGTTACGGTATTAATGCCTTAATTGTAGCTTCTTTTTGAAACTCCAAAATGTCCCTGCGCTGAAAATGGTGGGAAAAAAGTATAGTAGGATGTATTTGAGAACTTAGAAATTCAAATATAAGGCAGTGTTTACCGGTCACGGGTGGTTAGAATGCGTGTTCTTTGGGGGCAGTGGAAATGTAAATGTGACCTACCAGGATGCAGCGCTGAACACCTTGTGTTGTTGCTATATTCACTTTAAAAAGAGATTATGATGTTAGTCTGAGCTGCAGTTCGTGTGTCAGTGGCAAATCGAATGTGAAACTCACGCCCCTTCTTTGCTTAGCATACAGAGAAAAATACCTTTATTATAACCACCCAGAGGGCGTTGTTTTAAAACACACCTTGGAATAGAACAAAATAAAGGTTTAAATGGATGTATTTGTTGTCACCGTTAAGGCGTGTATTTATGATATCTGTGAACTAGTACAGTGAGGAAGTTGGAAATTGGGAAGATCTTTTTTTTTAATATATAAATTATATACATGTATGTCTATAGTTCTTCTGTAGTGCAGCTCACATCGTCATTCCTTCTGAGTATGTAATTGTCAAAACATAAAACCGGGTTTGGAATAACAATGGCGCAGTTGGATCTAGAACAACTCTGTTTTATTTAGCCACAAATAACGAAAAGCCAATACTGCTTTTGCAAATGAAGCTGAACTAACTTTTTTCCCCCATTGAAGTGAAAGCTTTTGTAAGTGCGAGGCTTCGTAAAGCGAATGCATGTGACGTGACGTGGTAAATCTTGTTTCAGAAGTAGTAGTTCTCATCCTGTAGATGTTGTGTGGAGTTCGCTTGTTTTCCAATGAGAGCAGCAGCTTCCTGACTACACGGTCTTTATGTTGCTTTTCTGCTTACAAAGGCAGAATGTCAGAAGGCGACAGTGCTGGAGAATCTATCCATGGGAAACCTTCTGTGATTGGAAGCTTTTTCACACGGCTTGGACAGGTAGGCTTGTGCTGGGAACGTTTGCAGTGAAGATAAGGTCTCTTATTCTGTGATCTCTGTCCTGTCTGCTGTCCAATACTCAAGCCCTTTGATGGGACATAGTTGATTTAAGTGTGTGGTGGTGGGGTACCTGTATCGTAACAAATAAAAACATTGTGATGAAATAATAAATAACTAAGTGATAAAAAACGCTTTCCAGATAATACCATCAGAATAATTTCTACAGGGGCTAGTGGGGTAGATCTTAGTGGTACCAACGGTGATGATCTTCTTGATGACTTAAAGGAGCATTTCATTTCACCTGTCGGAAGTGTCATGAAATCCAAGGGCTGAAGCTTGGAGCGATGGCCCTTGGACTTTGGAAATGCAAGGCTGAATGCACAGCTGGCAGCCAGCAGTGTTTTCTTGAAGTGAAAATGCCAGTGAGGCAGCTGGAAACATGCTCACATTCACCTGCTGATATGGTGGGAGGATCTGTTTTAAAAGGCATAGGGGAAACAGGAAGGTTTGCGTTCTGTCTTTACAAAATTCTCTTATAATCGCCAGTATATACAGACTTTTATATTTTTGGTTAAAAGAAGTTTCCAAACTGATTATCAAGCTTTTCCCGCTCTGGCTAGAACTCAGGAAGGAGAATTTTGACTTTATTTTTGCCGTCACAATCTTTCTTGCAGTAGAGTGTCTTCAGACGCATTGGGGCCAGACAAGCTATAAGATCCTCTGCCAGACTCCTTTAAAATATGTTTGCATTCATTTCATCACCTTTAATATGCTTTTGAATCTAAAGGAAGTTAACTGGCTATAGATTGGTTTGCGTGCACTTTGTAACAGCCTGGAGTTTTTTTTTAAATTAAAGTTAAACTTGGGTCTGGTGAGACCTTTCTCCTTTTTTGCTTTGGGAGGTGTTCTTTCACATAATTGAAATGACAAAAAAAAATGTAATTTTATTCACTCGGAGCATCAAACATAACTCCAAATTTCCAAATAAAGGCAAATAATTTAAAAGCCTTTCTTAAACCTGCATATTCTCTTTGTCTGAAATCTCTGCTTGTGATCAGATGATTTTGCGAAAGTGCTTGTTGTGTGCTTGATAATTCTCACATGCTGATGTGAAACTTCATTGACTGGATACCCATTTCAAGTAAGGATTCAACTGTTAGAATTTTACTTTCAGAAATTCAGAATGAGTTACTGTGCTTGCTTACATGATTAAGCAACCTACAAGTGAGTACCTACTTCATTCTTCAGTCTTTACTGGTACTTAATGTTTCTTGACACAAAATATTCTATAAGAAATATTTTATATATTCCCCTAAAAAAAGGACTTTTCCAATTTCTTGTATATAATCACATCAGCATCACTTCAGTGATTGCTTATCCAGGTCAGTGTCACGCTGGTCCGGAGCCTATCCAGGGCAACATTGGGTGCAAAGCAGGATACTCCATGAGTGGGATGCTTGTCTATTGCAAGGTACACACAGACACTAACACACTCTCACACTCACACCAGGGCCAGTTTTCCCAGAAGCCAGATAACCCACCAGTGTGTCTCTGGACTGTGGGAGGAAACCGGAACACTCAGAGGAAACCTGCATGAGCACAGGGAAATTTCCATGTCCATGCAGATAGCACCCCAGGGCCCCAGAGCTGCAGGACAGCATCGCTAACCACAGTGCCACCTGCATCATATAGAATTTGTTAGGAAAAACTTGATGAAAATGGAGGAAATACTTTGGTTGTATTAGATTACTCAGTTTATAGTCATGGTTATAAAAGCGATCAATATATGTGTGCTAACTGTCAGTGCTTCTTTTTTTAGATTTATCAGTCCTGGTTAGATAAGTCTACACCATTTGCAGCAGTACGATGGATTGTCACTCTAATTCTAACCATCATCTATATGATTAGAGTGTATATATTACAGGTAAGATAACTGATTGTACTGTTTTCTTTTTCCTCTGCGTGTAGTGTAAAGGCATCTACGTGTTAGACTTACAGTGGTGTAGCTGTTTTGCCATTGTCAAAATAAAAGTGTTTTTGGTACAAACACGTGAGTTTCATTGGAATTGGACATCTAAATATTTTTCAGTCATGTGTCATTTTATTTCGGGTTATCTGGACTTAGAGGAACATTTTGGAGATAATTTTATTTTGTATAAAGATACATTTTATAAACTAAAGTAATTAAAATAAAGCATGCACATTTTGAATTAGCTGTTAATGTCTCTGCTTTCAATTTAAAGCTAAATCCCTTAACATATAAGAGGTGACACATTTTTTTTACCACTGATGCGTAGCACCCTGGTGAACAGGGTGAGTGATACATGGCAGGGAAGTTTAATACAGGTAAAAATTTAATTTAAAATTGTTATAAACCTTGCAAAGTGATTTTTAATAACCAAGTAGGTGAGACCGTTTTAATGGATCTTATCTTACTGTCCAGTATCCTCTGTGACCATACTGGTCTATTTGATGGAAATTCAGGTGCAGAGAGAAATAGCAACCTGGTTTACTTTGGGGTCACTTATCCCAGTGCTGACCAGCATCCTGCCTTGGCTTCTGAGATCTTAAAAAGGGCTACAAAGTGGCACTGCTGCTGTTAAATAATGTTTATCCATAAATAACAAAATGCATATACATAGAGTATGTTTATGTTCCTTTTTTATATATATAAATGTAGCTTAGGTTTATAGTTGTTGAAATGCTTCAGTTGCTATTGAGACACAGGATTAAGCTTTGGCTTCTGATTTTTGCAGGGATGGTACATTGTTACGTACGCTCTGGGAATTTACCATCTGAACCTCTTCATTGCATTTCTGTCACCAAAAGTGGATCCATCATTAATGGATGATGCAGGTAAATTAGGTAGATTTGGCATAATGTAAGAGAGGATTACAGTGCACTACTTTTCAAATACAGCCAATGTTTAGAATAGATTGTGGTCTGAACCAGCACCTATCCTGCAAAAAGGAAAAAAAAAAGCTTTGTCTGACTGTACAAAACAAATATGAAATATGGGCTTAATTAGCACTTTGGTGTTTAATTCAATTTCTGGAAATAATGTTCAGAACGTTAATTATGGAGTTCCTTAGAAGCTAGATGCAAAAAATGAAAAAAAATATGCTTAGTTTGGGATAGTGAGAAACTAAAAGCACTCACTGGTTTATGGAACCAAGTGCCACGCAGGAGATCTGTTGGGCACTGTTTGGAATGTGAATGGAATTATTTAGCATATTATTTGTAATATGCAGAATATAGAAAAAATGATACAATGTTTAGCTGTTCCATGCAAAATTTTCTTTCACACAATTAAGAAAATGGGTCATAATTGTATATTAATTCTGTTAGTGTTAATATTCCTTTATTAAAAGCAAAATAATTGTCTTTTTTTGTGTAGTGCCTGGAATATACAAATGCAGGAGATACTGAATTGGAGTAATTGACATTTACTGCAGGAAAAACAAGCCAAAACATCCTTCTGTGTTAGTTTTATCAAGCAAAAATACAGTAGGAATTCAGGCCGCCATCTTTATACATAAATTGAGCAATCTGCCCAAGCTAACTAGAAATGGATAGGTGAAATAAGCATAAGTATTTACTGCCTTTGGAAGTGAGTCATTGAAGCCTGTTTAGTCAGTGAAGCTAAGAGAATATGCAAGTTTCTTAAGAGAGTATCACATCAGTCGCACTTTTTCCATTATGATCTGTAATTATAGAGTAGGTCTTTTGTTCATGAAGGTGCAATACTGAGGAGAAGTCTAGAATGTTTTCAGGCTTTTGAAGAAGTAGAAATGGAATTTATTGTTAGCTCAGTTTGTTGTATGTTAAGCCTTTCACTCTCAGTGCATTTCTTTGTTGTCTAGATGATGGCCCTTCGTTACCTACAAAGCAGAATGAGGAATTCCGGCCTTTCATTAGAAGGCTACCAGAGTTCAAATTTTGGTAAGAACTACTTAATAACCTTTCTGTGCTCTCTGCACTGCGCTGAGCTATCCATTTCTTTTTCAATTTCGATACTGAGGGAGTTCCCTCTGATTAACCAAAATATTTAAAAAATAGACGAACTGAACTGGTTTCCTTTTATTACATATTATAGTATTATTAGGCGTGCTTTTCTGTCAGTTAGCTTGATCACTGGTATTTCTGTCTTCTCCCAGTGTTATGTTAGAGGTATTTTATTAATAAAAAGAATTACCAGTTAATCAAGACATCATTTTAATTTTAACCAAAGAAAACAGTATTTGTATTAGGAAACATTAAATTGTGGAAGAATTTCCCCCTTTTTCCATTAATTACTATTATGATCTTTGTGTTAAAATTTCCAAGCCTTGTATTACAGATCCGGTTATTGGACACTTGAAAACCCTTTAGTGTTGAATCAGAGCTAGAGTGTAATGCACGCATCAGTAACAAATGTGCAACCAATTTGAAATGAAATGTTAGTTAAAACACGCACCTAAACTGAGGCACAAGAGTGTGAGCAGTTCCCAACAGCTCCCACAAGTTTGTCTTGAACTGTGAAGAACAATCTCCTCCAAACTATACTGCTTAAGTGTTTTAAAACTCAAGTTAAATCTCTAATTGCTGGGAGAGCCAACACACAAATCCTCATGTCTCTCCGTCAACTTCCTTGCACTGCAAGTTAGCATCGTCCTGCATAGATTTGCATAAATTGTAACAGCCAAGTGCTGGGAACATCAGTGCAATGTCAAAGTACAATCGCTTTTAATGTTGCATAATGTGGTATAAACCTCAGCAGAAAGATAGATGAGAATAAGGAAATTTCTCGAAGGGGAAAAAAATATATATTTTAGTGCAACCTCAAAGACGATGTTATTCCAGTTCTGGAAAGGGAGCTTTGATTAAAAAGGAAAGTTACATGAAAGGATGAAGACATTAAAGTGCACCACATCCATTCCAAAATCAGGAAATATGTATGAACATGATGAAGGTTTTTTGCTTCCAATAGTTGGTTAATTATCTTTTTTTATATAATAGCACATTAATTGGACATCTAATTTTTATTAAGAATGTATTGTCAATAAGGTACTTTAGGCACAGATTTACCTCCACAAATTTTGGATAATGAGTATAGATATTTTATTGGAAGAATCTTCCCCAATGCAAAAATAAAACTCGGGTCTAGTAAAGCAAACTGTTTGGAAACTGGTGTATTTGACAGACCCCTGAATTTTTGTACTTTTGGGGGAATTTTGTTTACCTTTATTCCCTCATATTCAGTCATTGAGTGGTGAAAAAGGTTAAGTTTTTTTCTACCATTCATTGTTACATGTTTAGAGCACCAGCAAAGCTAACGTTTTAATTTGCAGGCACTCTGTGAAACCAGTGTATTTACAAATGTGTTTGTTAGTGTATGTGTAATATAGTACTTTAAATCTAATTTATAGATGGAAGAGTCAGTATTTGTCTTTCGAAATGTGCATTAAGTATTAATGGCACTTTTTTAATGTTCCTCTTACTTCAGGCATTCAGCAACTAAAGGCGTTGTCATTGCAATGATTTGCACATTCTTTGAAGCCTTCAATGTGCCAGTATTCTGGCCCATACTGGTCATGTACTTCATCATGCTCTTCTGTATTACCATGAAGAGGCAGATAAAGGTATGGTCTTTTATGTTTGTAGTCAATCAGACTGTAAAAGATTTTAACAGCTACTATATGTAAATGAATAACTTTGTTTTTATGTAACTGACTCCCTTTTTTATTAGTAGTGTTGAGTATGAAATTTTAGAAAGCGTCAAGCTGTTACCAGAGCTTTATGATGATGACTCGCCATTTAAACAAATATTGTCTTATTTTCCCTTTGTTTTTCCTTCACAGCACATGGTCAAGTACAGATATCTACCATTTACACATGGGAAGAGGACATACAGAGGCAAGGAAGACACAGGGAAAACTTTTGCTAGTTAGAAAAATATTCTCCACCTGGAAAAAAAAAACCTTGAGTTTTGGGGAGGGTTGGGGAGGGGAGAGGGAGTGTGGGAGGGTTTACTAACAGAAAAAGAGTTTTGATCCATTGTGATGGTGTTAGGTAGTCAGGACGATCAACTCCATACGATTGTGCTGAATAGTTCTTGCTTACGAGTTTAAGTAGACGTTGCCGAAGCTTGTTTTCCACTGGTTTCATTGCCCTGTAACCCCTTGGGTTGCGCAATAGTGCTTTGAGTGAATTGTGGAATTAACTTTACAGTGGAAATTGGATTAAGTGATCATTAAGAACCCCACTCCTGCTCTGCTCAGCACTATGCCACTGACGATGGTAATCTTCCAGCTACCTTCAGGGATCTTGCATATAAACGAAAGTTTAAATAAGATGGCATGGTATCCATTGCCATGTTGCATACAGTAGTGTCACATTTGACTGTCCACTGAATTGGAAGTTACTCAAGAATATCATTCCTTTAGTTATAACATTTTATTAAGAATTATAATAATTACTGATGGTTGCCAGTTTGGGCTTCTTGTTTTATACTGTTACCCATCAGAAAATGTCCTCAAAGACCTGGAGAACTAATCACAAGCTCGTGCCCCCATTGCTTGTGCTGTCAGACAGCTGATTTTAGTAGAGGCAGAATGGAAAGGACAGAGCTGAAGTGCCCACTAGAAGACAAACGCAGATCACCTTACAGTACCAAGGTGCCCGGGCACCCACATGAGTTGTTTTTGTTCAGTCAAGTCCTGAACCACAGTGCTGTACCTACCTCCACAAATCACTGTGGTGCTTGGCCAGTTTTCCCCATTCTGTGTTTGGCAAGTGGCAAAGCCTTGATTTGAACCTGTGACCTCCAGGCTGTAGGATTTAACCTGCATTCCAGAGAGAGGCTTCTGATGAAAGGCCAGGTCAAATGAATGTCACTGGTAGGAATCCTCAAATAACCATTAACACTGATTGTGACCTCGCAAAACTTGCCGTTTCTGCTGACCAGACCCTATTTGAACATCAAAACTATTTTGACTGCATAGCCTGTAATCTCCATTCAAAAGTAGTTATGTGCAGAATTTGACCTGCTCTAGAAATTCTAGCCTAAAGGTTCATTAACATATTTGATGTTAGCAAAAAAAAATTTTAATATCATTTAAAAGTGTTATTGAAAAAGAGTAGCAATAAGACTAAATGTACGCTACGACTTGTCCAGTGGATCGTTCTACTGAATTACAGCACAGTGCATACAGAAAAGTCTACCTTGTACATTAGTTTCTTTAGGAGTTTGTAATGCTGTTATAGAACTATATCATTCCATTTTTCTCTCTTTTTCTTTTCAGAACAACAATAAGAAAAATTGGGTCTTGCAAATTCATGGAGAGGGGGTTAATGTTTTTGCATTTTGCTAGCGTGCCTGAAGTATTTTGTGATAAATGTGACATCATGGGGTTGTTTTGGAAAACCTGGGAGAAAAAGTGTCTGGATCGCCACTGTAGTGAAGGATCAAAACTATCTTTTTCCTCTAAAAGTGCATCATGTTTTTGGAGGGTTGTGTTGAGGGTTTATATATTTTAAAGGTTAAATAGTTTGAGATTATTTTGAACACACTTTTCTTTAAAAAATATGCTGTTTTCCAAGTGTTTAATTTATCATTGTCATTTAAACATTCTAGAAATGAAAATAATAGAAATTGGACTTCAGCTTTATAAATCCGTTTCTAAAAGGAAATTGCATGTATTATTGGTTTTTCATGTTCTGCAAGATTAAAAAAGACAACCTGATTTTAATAACTTTATTAAGTGTAATTTTTTTCACTCCAAATGCTATTAAAGAGACAGTGTCCCTTTTCCTTGTGGTCTTTAGAAGCCTTATTTACCAATCTTTTTATTGAAATGAAATTTTCCTTAATTTGCACATCATATTGTTGCTTTTCTAATCTTAATGAGGAGTTCAATCAGATGGCAATAGCAGCCTTAAAACAGCTGTGTATCTGTAGTGTAGTAAAACAATTTACTGTAGGTACGACAGGTGAAAAATAGACTGTATGTTTTTCTCTGTATGAAGTTTTTGTTTTTAATATACAAGAGGAAACTTTATGGATTGATTATGATCTATGTGTGTTTAGACTCTAAGGTTTTTATGTAGCTTCCTGTAAGTATATTTTAAGAACAAGAGCTACTTCATATGTTACAACTGCATTCATTTACTGTATCTGTTTTATTATATTTTTCTAAGGCTGCTTGGAGAGTAAAACTTACCTTAGGGTTTTTTTATTTCTCAGATTGTATAGAAAGACATTTCATGACAAATAGATGGGGCTCTTCTGTTAAATGATAGAAGGATAGTTCATATGTTTCTGTAAATGTGTTGTAGCTTGAGTAAAACGATGGAGTAATGGGAGATTTTGGAAAGGGTATTACAATGATAGTGAATGAAAATGTCTGCATTTTCAATGAATATGAAGCTTGAGAATGCAGTTACTTGAATCACATCTGAAATACTAGACAGTATTTTGCCACAGTCTGTTCTGATATTTAATTGAAAGACTTTTGCAAATAAAGCTTTTTTTCTTGGCTACTAGAGATGTGTAAAAGTACTCTTAATTGGGTAAATCTGACTACTGATAAAGGTAAATTGAGGTGGCTTTAAATTATGCTTTATGGTGGACAGTGATGTGAATACAAGGTGTGTATGCTTTGTTCTTTTCATGATTCATTTTCAAAGTTGGCAATATCTCTTTTATCTTTATGCCTATAGCAACAAAGTGCCCAAAATCTGAACTACCACTAGAGATTTCATTATTTCTTTTTTTTCTTGTTTAACAGTATATTGTTTTCATAATGACTTGCAAAAATTTTATAGAAAATGTAATCCTAACTTTTTAGAATTAAAATATTTGTCAGTTGGTTAGAATCTGGCCCTTTCTTTATTTAAAAATTGAGGCAAATACTAATAATAGGAAAACTACTTGTTAGATTGTTCTAAATGTTAACTTAGTATGTTTTACCTAGCTAGTAGATCTAGCAAATGGGGCATGTCTAGCCCAGTATCACTCTGATTCTGATTACTAAAAAGTAAATAAACTAGATTTGCATTTTTTATTTGCAAGAGCTGTAACACCTGTGTTGAAGTTGTCTCTACATGGATGATTAACAGCACCCAGTCCTAACACGGTTGGTATCATTTTTATCTTAACATGAAATGGGTAGTGGAAGAAAGAAGATGTAAATGGATCTGCAAATCAATCAGAATATGATCAAGTACAAAACGTTTATGCAAATCTGTAAAGTCATCATAGGTAAATTCAGGTGATGCGCCGTGAGTAAATTCATTGATACCAAAGATTAAATGAAAAAACACGCTTACGACAGCAGGCGACAATGCGCGGTTTTCGGTTCTTAATCTTTGCTCTTCTTTATTGTCGCTGGATTAATACATCAAATCCCTGCAAAAGGAAAGACTTTAGCTTGCCCGGCGATTATATATTGGGAGGGTTATTCCGACTTCACAGTGCTAAGGAGTATAAGTTTCTCTATAGAATACCTGCAGTTCTCGACTGCGACGTGTAAGTACCGTTTACCGTAAGACCATTTTAGAATATAGGAGCAATTTTTCTTAAAGCATTATAAATTAACGCATTGGCTTTGTCTTCGTTTCCGTAATTTCTCGTCATGGTGTACATTTATGAGTCGTCTGTTATTTTTCCCCCTCAGGCTAGCAATGAAGCTAGGTGTTTTGTAGCTAATAAACGTAAGATTGAAATCACGTCGCCGAACTACTATGTCGTTCTACCATTCTGTCGACTATAATTAAAAAGGGGCGGTGGGATGGGGGGTTGGTTGCTTCAATGATCGTCATCTAAACAGTTTGTCTAATTTCATAGATTTCAGTATGCAGCTCACCCGTTACACTACTGTATTCTCCCTGCCAGGTGCCCGTTTTTACCTGGATATTATCAGCAGCTCCAGGTGATGAGGTTTGCGGTGGAGGAGATCAATAACTCCACATCTCTACTGCCCAATGTGTCGCTCGGCTACGAGATCTTCGACTACTGTTCCGATTCCCATAACCTCCAAGCGGCTTTAGACTTCCTTTCGAAGAAGCTGACCAGAGTTATTCCCGTTGTGGACCGCATAACAGAGTATCTGCCAAAAGTTCTGACAGTGATTGGACCTTTCGGTACCACCGAGAGCCTAGTAATTGCCCCGCTCTTCGGTTCTTACGGTGTTCCAATGGTAACTTTTGCATCATTCTTTAGTTAATGCGTTGTCGGTCTTATTCTGTATCCCATTTTTAGTGGTAGTTCCTCATTTACGAGCCTTGTTTTTCTCACAACATTCTGTATTATGACCTTCAGGTGAAAGCAGGGATCGAGGCGCATACTGTAAATCTGTCTTCATTTGTGTTTGCAGATAAGCCCCGGAGCTTCAAGTTTGCGTTTGAGCGACAAAATTAACAATCCTTCGTTTCTGCGGACGATTCCAAGCGATAAAAATCAAGTGCGGGTTATAATACAGCTCCTGAGGAGGTTTAACTGGAATTGGGTTGCCTTTGTTGGTAGTGGCGACGATTACAGCAACGATGCCCTTCGGGAATTTGATAAGGAGGCCCGCTTGGTCGGCATCTGTGTTCCGTACCAAACAACTCTACCTCAAGACACTTCTAAAATTGGTGCCCTGTTTGACAGCATAGCCACGGTCAACGTGAGCGTCGTGGTCGTGTTTTCCACACGGATTTACGCCATCCCCTTCATCAAAGCTGCCGTGGCGAACAACGTGCGAGACAAAGTGTGGATTGCAAGCGAAGCCTGGTCCATGAACGAAGAACTGGCCAGAATGCCTGGGATTGACACCATCGGCACGGTTATAGGGATAACTACTGGGGGTCTGGCGCCTTTGGAGGGGTTTGAAGAGTTTGTCCGCAAAACCCTCGCTCACCGCGACGGCGAGATCTGCAGCGACTCCTCTCGCTCGGCTGTGGAGGAAACGTGCAACCAGGATTGCCCTGCGTGTGCAAACGTGACTCTAGAAAACCTGCTCAGTCCAGACCCCTCATACCGTCTTCGCGTTTACTCTTCTGTTTACTTAGCTGCCCATGCGCTTCATCAGCTCCTAGGCTGCGACGCGAAATATTGCCGCAGGTCCGACCCAGTGCTTCCACACATGGTAAGATTTGCAAGTATACCGTGTTTTCGGTCTTTGACATGGTCACATTTTACTCTGCTACAGTCAATTATTGCATTCCAAACCTTATCATATTAGGATGATCAATTATTTAGAAGGACGTGTTTAAGTTTAAAAAAAATCAAAATGCATATATGCTAAATTCTCACATACCGGTATTTTTGTCACTGAATTGATTTCATTTCTTCTATCGCTTTAAACATACTGTAACTGTATTCACTTTCCATTACTGCACAAGATTACAGCGTCTTTTTGTCTTTCTGGTTGTAGGTTCTTAAAAAGCTGAAGACGGTGAACTTCACCCTGTACGGACGCACCATAAAGTTTGATGTAAACGGAGATCCGATTCCCTCTTACGATTTCGTGGTTTGGGACAGAACTTCACCGCGGTTTTATAAGAAGATCGGTTCCTATACTTCAGATCCAGAGCCTATATTCGTTCTTAACGCGAGTCTTATTCGCTGGTTCTCCAATGGAACGGTAACGACTTATCGGTGCAGCAATATTTAAACACTTCAGGGTTGACATGCACTTCTTATAATTATCAGCCTGCTTCCTTTGAGTTAGTTAATAATGTTGTTTATCCTGTAAATGCAAGAGAAAGTTTATATATAATTATAAATCCGCACTGCAAGTATTTTTGACGGTTTTGCGCCTACCATTGATAATAAAAAATCTTCAGTAACGCGGTGCAGCAGTAACATTGCAACCGAGAGGTTATTATTTGAAAAGATAGAATATGTTTGAATTGGTTGTGCCATCTGTAACAATCATGGACTTCTGATTAATTTGTACTTTTTCAATTTGGTATAGGACATGACATAGAGTTTTTGTACGACACGCCCGTCTCCTTGTAGCCATAGGTATTAACTGATCCCTCAGAAAACAGCTCTTGGAAGCTGTCCAAAAGATTGCACAAGTACTGCAGTATTACTTTATTTCTTCGTCTGATTATTATATTATTCATGTGGGTGTGTTTAAAAGTTCAGTGTTAATACATATTTTTCAGACGCTGCTCGTAGTAATATCCAACAGGAGGCGACAAACGTCAATATTACACACGTTAAAAAGTTACATCTTTATCTGGCTCATTCGGGAATTTGAGACGTTAATCAGACAGGAATCATAGTTTTTATAGTAGCGGTAGTATTAGAATTTCAACCTTCTTATTACATTGATGATACCTATGAGATTTACAGTTAATACTCTAAACCAGTGGTTCTCTGTGCTCCTCCTGGGGTGCCTCCAGTATTTCATCCGAACTGGACCCTTAATTACCAGTTTTAAATGCTGCTTGTAACAAATCTGCTTGTTGGTTTAGACTTTTTCTTCAGATGATAAATTCTAATTCTAATTTTCCTGTATTTTTTTTTTACTTTGAACTTCATTGTGTTTCACCTCTGTCTTGTGCAGGTGCCTGTCCTGACATGCAGTGCAGAATGTGAAGCAGGTTACAGGAGGACATCGACTGGAGCTCACAGCTGCTGCTTTGATTGTGAGCCCTGCTTGAATGGAACCTTTGTCAATCACACAGGTACCCTGTTTTCTGCTTTGGAGAACATTTGGTGTAGCAACATTGGCACCATCAGAGCTGTGAGTTTGAATCCCAGATGGAGACACTACTTCTGTACCCTTAAGATTGGGTACAGAAGTATCCAGATTGCTGCCAGAAAAGTGTAAGCAATCGTTAGGTAATTGTAACCTATATAAGATGCTTTCAATAAAATAAAGTAATAATCAATTAAAATACTAATTAATGATGTAATAATTGGAAATTAATAACAGTACATTAAAAATAATACTCTACTTTTAAATAAAAAGCTTCCCACTTCGTGGCTTATATATTTTGAGCAAGCTGAAATTTTCAAAGTTTTCAAAGCAACAGTGTCTAGACCAGTGAAAATCTGACTGGTTTACCAATAGCTTGTGCTTTTTTTAAAGGAGTGTAGTAGTGACTAGGTTCTTATATTAAGTGTGAGCTCAAATTCTCACTGTCCCTGTTGAAACTAGCCTTTAATACAAAGGAGATTCGCTTTTTATTGTTTTTGTATTTAATAGCTGATCCCTACAAGTGTGTGAAGTGTGAAACTGATGAGTGGTCAGAAAATGGAAGTTCCTGTACCAAGCGCTCCCAAGAATACCTTCATTACACAGACCTCGTCTCCATTGGACTATTTTTGTCTGCAACCATCCTAATTTCTCTGTCGATAGCTGTGGGAGCTGTCTTTGTTTGGAATCGTAACACCCCTGTTGTGAAGTCTGCAGGGGGAAAGATGTGCTTCTTTATGTTGGGCTGCTTGATAGTGTCGTGCACAACAATCTTCTCTTTTCATGGGGTACCTCATGGGTGGACCTGCATGCTGAGGTTTCCTGTGTTCACTGTGTTCTACACCGCCTGCCTCTCCTGTCTCACTGTGCGCTCCTTCCAGATCGTTTTCATCTTCAAAATGGCGGCCAAGCTGCCCAAAGCTTATGATTTCTGGGTCAAGCACAATGGCCAGTGGCTCACTATTATGGCTTGTGTGGCCATTCAGATCATCTTGTGTACCATCTGGATTGGTGTGGAGGGACCCCGGCCTTTCAATAACACAGTAGCCTATAAAGACCAGATAATTTTTCAATGTAGCTTGGGAAACCTCTACGGTTTATTCACAGTGACATCTTTCACTGCCTTTCTCAGCATACTGTGCTTCGGTTTCTCCTACATGGGCACTGACCTGCCTAAAAACTACAACGAGGCGAAGTCTATAACAATTAGCTTGCTCGTGTTGTTCATTTCATGGATTTCCTACTTCACATCTCGCATGGTGTACCAAGGGAAATATCTCGAAGTTATCAATGCTGGTTCAGTGCTGTCCACTTTATATGGGATACTTTTGTGTTACTTTGTTCCTAAGTGTTGCATTATCCTTTTTAAACCAGACCAAAACACACCTGCACACTTTCAAAGCTGTATTCAGAATTACACCAAAACAATTAGTACTAAATAAAGTCTGCCATGTGAGTAGGTTTTTTTTGGTCTAAGAACATAAGAGCAGTTATACATTAAATGTCTGTTTGGTAGTTAGTTGCAAACTGATCCAAGGATTTCATCCAGTCATTTGGAAGACATCCCATGGGATTATGTTGAGCATTTTAAATATTCAAATAATTGGTTTCTCTGTTCAACACTCAAAAGGGTCTTTTACCCTTTCGGTGCAGAACATTTCTTTATGTTTCACAATGTGCCAGGTTGCTCTTTTTTAGACTCATACCATAACAGCAATATATTGTATATAATGTGAACACAATTGTACATAATATTCTAAATAATGCCTTACTAGTGCATTAGAGCATTAAAACACAACATCCTATGATTTAAACTACAATTTATCTCTATATGTTCACATTGTGTTTGCATTTTGTATTGCTTCTGCCAATTGCATTGAAGATGTAAATGATGTGTCAACATAAATACCAGTCTTTTTCACAAGCAGTCTCTTCCAGCTTAGTGTTTTCCTGTTTAGGATGAAAACTACAGAAGATTAAAAGTATGATTTGCTTGAAGTAAAATAAAATTGAACTGAAAATAATGAGGATATTGCTTCCAACTCACATATAAAACAGAAAGCACAACTGGTATTTTAATAGATATTTCCAGTGCAAAATTTAACCTGTAGTCATGCTGAGTACATTTGATTTATGGCAATTCTATGTCTTCTATAAGCTATTGCGTTGTGTTCAGATGTGTGCCAAAGAACAGCTATATATTGTATGAACACAGAAAAGAACAGTATCTAGCTTTTTCAGCTTTTGTAGCTTTCAGCAGCACTTCTTAGAAGGAATATAAACAAAAAAATACAACTGAACATTCAACCAATAATCTTCATTCATTTATTCATCTGATGAATAAATAAACTGGCATTTTAACTGTTGATCTCTCTTCTCTGCTTTGTTCAGTCTGTATTGGAATAATTGAACTCAACATGCACAGTGTTGAAGATGGTCACAGTTTTTAATAAAAAATTGGCACATTTATAATGTGACTGGCAAGTGGTACCTGGGAAGATTACTCTCTGGACTGGATGGCTCACACTCATATTGCAGGGCACACACACATTCATAAAAGCCAAGTAACCAGACCACCAAGCCCACCCACTCCAACACTGGAATGGCATTGAGATACACAGATGTGGAGTCATCTGAGACACAGAATGATGTTGCTAGCAGCTATTTCACCCTGTAACTCACTACTGACAACCCACTCAGGCTTAGCAGGTGTGAGCCTGGCCAGTACCTCAATGGGAGACCTCCAGGGAAAGCTAAGGTTGCTGGCAGAGGTGTTAGTGGGGTAAGTAGGGGTTGCTCACCCTGTGGTCTGTGGCAGGGGCACTATACTATAAAAAAGGCACCGTCCTTCAGTTGAGACCTAAAATCCAGGTTGTTACTCTTTGTGGTCATTAAAAACCCCAGGGCATTTCTCGAAAACAGTAAGGTGTTTGGTGAGAGCACTGGTGCACTTTGGCTGCCATCGCATCATCCAGGTGGGGCTGCACATTGGTGGTGGTGAAGGGGAGTTCCCATTACCTGTAAAGAGCTTTGAGTGGAGGGTCCAGAAAACACTAAAGAAGTGTAATAATAATGTGTATTAAGAACCTCCTTTGAAGCAACTCTGCTACGCATGTTACTAGCCATCCCAAGATAATTTAGGCACAGTGCCACTTGGCTGGGCTTTAGGAGACTGTTTATTACGTTAAAAACTAAGTGAACAGTTGAAAGAATTTGAAAGTGAGGTTAAGCAGCAGGCATGATGTGTTGTAGCACCGAAGGGGTTTGACATTTATTGTTTCATAAAGACAGTTCGAGCCATCTTCTACCCTTGTCGATCATAGCAGGTGTGAGAGATTGCAGTTCTCAATGGCAGTAGTATTACAGTATATGAGTTTATTACAGCTCTGATCTCTAATTGCTTACTTAAACTACTTATCTGAGCACCATGCAGAATCATCTGGTTTAGTTTTTTTTAGCAGTGGCTAATTGATCAGCACCTATAAACCTTATGTTAAGAAGCAGTTAACCACCAGCTGCAGATTTGATACCTACAACCCCACAGCTAAGCAGCGGAAACAATATACAAAAAAACAAAACCACTGCTGCCATTGAATTTGGCGCTTGTGTCCGTGCCAGGGTACTGTGCAGAACGTCGACCAAAGTAACATTGATACGGTGAACCGGGTATTAAGCAAAAGGTTAATCCGTGAACCAGTGTGTTAATGCATTACATTTAAACTGTGCTTTAAAAAAGTGGTAAGGAATGAGAAATCATCCTGGTCATTTAAAAGGTTATTTTTTAATCTGTTGGGATTGAGCTTTCTTGTATTTACTATTTAAGAATCCATTAAAATGATTACTGGGTGCATTCACGTAAAAGAGCTGACGAAAAATAACACTGTTTTAACCGAGGGAGGAAAAATGAAGTTTGCATATTGTTCATTTGCAACAGGAAAGAATCGGTACGCAACATTAGAAACACCTGCGTGGTATATCAAAAATAAGCATTGTAAATGCAAGAGCGGAGTGTGGATTTGCAAGGATTGTGAGTGATTCTCGCTTGAAACTGAATATGTTTAATAATTACATTTCCCAAGAACTTTACCCTTTTATTTGGGCTTATTATTCTTCAGAAGAACAAGAAATCCTTTGCAAACACAGGGTTGTGGTTTCACTAGAAAAACATTCGAATTGTTCAAGCATAACGAGAGTGTATGTAAATCCATTGCGTTTGCAAATGGAGAGGATAAATCTCACAACTCTTTCACAGTTTCTTGGGGATACAGTGAGAAAACAGCATTTCTTTTTTTTTCCTGGGGACCTTGTTTGAAGTTCCTGGGTCTCCTCTCCAGAGACAGTAGCTATGCAGGGTTCCGACTTTTTCTTTGTGCTTTTGGGTTTGTATTTTCTTCGGATAAACTCGACGTTATGTTGCGAGGACTCAGATTTTAAATTACAGGGGGACTACATTCTTGGAGGACTGTTCCAGATTCACTTCGCGCTCAACGAAGATACGCCGAGCATCCATCCCGAAGACCTGCAGTGCAGTAGGTGAGTAAACTACATCGCCTCTATTTGCATTTATAACAGTTCGTTTATTTGTTTTAATATCTTAATTGACAAACGTATCTATATGTAGTACAAAGGCAGGGGACTTTATGTGATGTGAAAACGACGTTTTCTGTATCAAAGTCTTTCTATATAAAGTGACTTGTTTTTTCTTTGAAGTAACGTTATGTAGCCTACAAATATCGGTTCGTGGTACGTACACATTTTTTACGCATAATTTAATTGAAATGGCGTACCTAATGAGCGTTCGTCTTTTTTCCTGTCAAAACGAGTTTTCGACAAATAATGCAAACTAACCGAAAAATGTAAATCATAGTGGGAAACGATAGGTCTGTGAACACTAGTGCAGAACTAACCCTTTCGTGGGTAGTTTAGCTCCTACATCCGTTTTATTAGTTGCAAGTAAATGTCACACAATTGTGGCAAGAAACAGCCTGGTGGCATTAAAAGGTAAATGCTTAAATGTTTCTTCGTTTTTTTCCATCTGAATCACACGTACGATTTGAGCAACATCACACCCCATCACCTCTGAGCTGCAGAGTGCGCTCTCGTATAATTTACGCATACACTGCAGGATACAGTACATCTTAAATGTAAACCACCAGGGATTTTTAAGGTCTCCTTAAACCAGCGGCGCTTGAGAACTGAGAGAAGCTTTTAATTCGGTCCGTTTGTTCTAGTTAAACCAGTAACCAGCTCGTTAAGAGCTGATCTGGAAAAAAGATGTACAAACACACCGGTCCCCCGGGACTAAGATTGAACAGTCTGGATTATGCAGTTACTGAATTTCTATAAATAAAACCGCTTTGCTTCGCAGGATGTCGTATTACTCTAGTAGATTAATTCGCAACACTAAATATTTCTTATTATTACAGATGTTACAGTGCGAAAATGTTGTCGATGGATTAAAGATTTTTTTTGTGTGTTGAAGAAGTCTGTTCTTGAAGTGCTGCATTTCAACTCCCAGCTGGTTTGAAGTTAAACTTTAAAACTTCAACGGGGGTTAAGCCAAAGCATGTGTAGTTATGTACCTCCACAATTTCCCGTGTCTTTTATCCCACAGATTGAACTTCTTGCCTTCAGGTTATCAACAGCTCCAGGTGATGAGGTTTGCGGTGGAGGAGATCAATAACTCCACCTCTCTACTGCCCAACGTGTCGCTTGGCTATGAGATTTTCGACTACTGTTCCCGAACACAGAACTTCCCGGCTGTGTTTGACCTCCTCTCCACCAACGGATCTGTCCCAGTGCGAAACACGATCAGGGAGTATCATCCTAAAATTATATCTGTCACTGGCCCTTTTGGAAGCACAAAAACCATAACTATTGCTCCCCTGCTCATGTCAAGCTTTGTTCCAATGGTAACATTTTAAAAGTTCCTCATCTTGCAGGCAAATTCGCTTTGCGCCTGTAAAAATAGGTTTATTTCAACCACGATGGTGAGGGAAACGCAAACAGGTTGCTTAATAGGTTTTTATTTCTGGTTTCACAGGTAACCTATGGTGCCACAAGTACACAGCTGAGTGACAAAATAAAATTCCCCTCCTTTTTCCGAACGGTTCCAAGTGACAAGCATCAGGTGGGGCTTATTGTTCGTCTGCTGCGGATGTTCAAGTGGAACTGGGTGGCGTTCATCGGGGGGGACAGCGATTACAGCCGGGATGCCCTTCAGTTTTTTTCTGAGGAGATCCCGTCAGCCAACATCTGCCTGGCTTACCAGGGAACGGTCACCAGAACGGCCCCCGAAATTGACGAGATGATCGATGTCATCGACGACCTCCAAATCGGCGTCATTGTGCTGTTCGCGGAGCAAAGCGACGTGACGCTGTTCATCCAACAAGCGGTCAAGAGGAACGTGAGGAACAAAGTGTGGATCGCCAGCGAGGCCTGGTCCTTAAATCAACAACTGCTCAGTTCCGCAGGAATTGACTCTATTGGGACCGTCATTGGAATAACCATCCAAGGACTGGGGACTTTACCAGGGTTCAAGGAGTTTGTCTCCAGAACAATGACCCGCCGAAAAACCCAGACTTGCCCCTCTGAACAGCGTGTGTCACCAATGGAAACTTGCAACCAGCTTTGTCCCCAGTGTTCTGGGGTAACCCCTCAAGATATCATTAACGAGGACCCAACTTACAGCTTCAGCATTTATTCAGCGGTTTACGCTATTGCACATTCCTTGCACCAGGCTTTGCAGTGCAGTGTGAATGGATGTTCAGGATCAGGGCCGGTCTATCCCTACATGGTAAACCCTGTCAGATTCTTGAATTTTTTTTTGCTCGTATTATTTACGTCTCCACTGTTAACATTCATTGTAATGAGGAATTGTTTGTTGATATATGCCTTTTTGAATTATGAAGCATTTTTCAGGAAAGAATAACTCGAGTAAATCAAGAACAATCTGTATTTGAGAAGCTTTTAGATGTCTGCTATTTGGATTCAGACTCCTGCATCCTTTAATCTAACACGCATACAGGAAGAAGTAATCGGTAGGATGTCTTTTCAAAACAGTCATTATATATATTTCAGATGCTAATATTTTTCTTTTCAATGGTCCCAGGTGTTCGAGAAGCTGAAGAAGGTCAGCTTCACACTGTATGGACACACCATAGAGTTTGATGAATATGGAGACCCATCACCTTATTATGAAATTGTGGTTTGGGACAAGACCTCACCTGAGTTGTTCAAGAAGATTGGTTCATATTCTCCTCAAACACAGCCTGAGTTCATTCTCAACAAGAGTCTTATTCATTGGCACACAAATGGAGTGGTAACTATTTACTTTTTTATTTGCATTACATCATTTTAAATGAAAAGGAAAGCAGTGTAGCAAAAAAGGGAAGAGCTGAGAATTGGGCATATCGGTTTCTGCAACATGAACATTATGAACCCAAAAGGACAGCTGGTTTTGATTGGACCATTGCTGTTGTTGCAGGAAATGAGACTGCCACTTTCTTCTCACAAGTTCAAAGGAGACGGACACATAAAGGAAGAGATGTGTGACTGTAGGTGAAGCTCAGAGCTTCACAAAATCACATGCGCCGCTAAACTATCCTGTGCTGCAAAACTGTGGATTCTTAATTCATATTATTGACAGCATACTTGTGATGTATGAACAAGAAAGGGGAGTTCTCTTTGATCTAAAGCAAGATGACAGGAAAATAATAGAGGCTCTTGTTGTTTTTTCAGCAAAGGTGTACCTATGAAAGAAAATAAATGTAATTGTTTTCATAAAATTAGTCCAAACCAGTTCTGTTTCATCTTGGCAATAAAAGCAATTGTGTTTAAGGGATTTGCCATGTTGGTGCTAATTAGGATAATTGAGGGGAATTCTTGTGACCAAGGTAAGGGATAGGGTGGGGACGTGGGTGAGTCTTGGTGTAAAATAGCTTTTTTCCTGAGATTCTGCTCTCACCCATGAATAATAGGATCCTAATGTCTAACCCCACCTGCTAGTAGAGTCTACTGGAATTTCACTGTTACTTTAAAGAAATGTCCACACAGTGGACTGAAACGAGTCAATACAGCTGATTTCTATCATTTGTGCTAAGAATAAGAAAGGGGCCATGAGCCATCACACATCTCCCTGTGGCTGTTCTACTGCTTCTCTTCTCTAGCCCTTGAGTGTATTTTCCTGCAGGTGCCTGTATCGGTGTGCTCTCCAGAATGTCCCTTGGGTTACAAGAAGAGCCAGGTTGGACACCATGAGTGCTGTTTTGAGTGTGAGGCCTGTCCAAATGGGACATATGTCAATTATACAGGTAAGCATTTATACAGCAGCTCCCATTAAGCTGGAAGCAAATTGCTCTGGAGATATAGAGAGGGTTGACAATGAAGAAAATGGCACAATATCAAAACAGGGTATAAAACAAGAAACTAAATAGCTGCACATAAGAATACTCAGAAATGTGGTCAATGACTGGAGCAGAAACATTTGGTGTCTAATATGTGCTGTTTTATGCTTGTGCTTTGTGTTTTTTTGTTGTAAACAATCAATCTCATGTTTCTTATTTCTCAGCTGATCCCTCCACGTGTAATAAATGTGAAGTCGATGAGTGGGCAGAAGAGGGTAGTTCCTACTGTCAAAAGCGCATCTTGGTGTACCTTGACTATACTGAGCTCCTCTCCATTGGACTAATGCTGTCCGCGAGCTTCCTCATTTCAATATCAGCGGCTGTTGCCATTGTCTTTGCTTGTAGCTTTAACACCCCGGTTGTGAAGTCTGCAGGGGGGAAGATGTGCTTCTTCATGCTGGGCTGTCTCACTGTGTCCTGCTGCAGTGTGTTCTTTTATCTTGGAATACCTGGGAGAGAAAAGTGCCTCCTGAGAAACCCTGTATTCGTTGTGTTCTACACCGCCTGCCTCTCCTGTCTCGCTGTGCGCTCCTTCCAGATCGTTTGCATCTTCAAAATGGCGGCCAAGTTACCCAAGGCCTATGACTTCTGGGTCAAGCACAATGGCCAGTGGCTCACTATTATGTCTTGTGTGGGTATTCAAGTCATCTTGTGTGCCATCTGGATTGGTGTGGAGGGACCCCAGCCTCTCAATAACACAGCAACCTATGAAGACCAGATCATATTTCACTGCAGCATGGGGAACGAAGTTGCTTTCAACATTGTAATAATGTTTGTTGGTTTTCTCAGCATTGCCTGCTTTATCTTCTCCTACATGGGCACTGACCTGCCCAAAAACTACAATGAGGCAAAATCGATAACATTCAGCTTGCTCATATTTTTCCTTTCATGGATTTCCTTTTTGACTGCATACATGGTTCACAAAGGGAAATACATCCAGGCCATAAATGCTATCTCAGTGCTGGCTAGCTTATATGGCATTGTCTTTGGCTATTTTATCCCTAAGTGCTACATTATTCTTTATAAGCCTGAAAAAAACACTACCGCACACTTCCAAACCTGCATTCAGAATTACACCCAGAGAATAAGTAGTATGTAAGGAGGTCAATGATAAAACGAGGAACATCTCAAAACCTTGAGATGATGCTTATAAAATCTGATTTTATTTTGGATTCAGAAAAGACGTTTAGGGGTGATGGCACTGAACATGCATAGTGCCCATATTAAAAAAAATAAATGTTGGGATTTGCAGGTTTTATGGGAAAAGGGGCTTAAATATACTTTTTGGAAGAAATAATTCATTAGTTTTTCATTTTAGGTGTTTTCATTGCTTGGGAAAATCTTGGCATTATAAGTGTTGCTATGTTTTTTTTTTAATTTTCATTGAGATAGGTGTGTTTCTTCTATTCTGAAAGTTAGGTGTTTGAGAAGGCAAGAGGTGCTTTGGATTTTGATCCTGAGTGTCTTATTTGAGTGAGTAATTTGTTGATTTCCCTCAAGAGAGCTCATAAAAAAAGAGAAAAGAGTCTTATTCTTTCAAGAAATGCCTTTTCCTTAAATCTGTTTTTTTTTTTTAATTGGGAAACAAAATAAAATGTCCTTCTTTTATTATATGGTATTGAATACTTTTTGCTAGGTACAAAATATTTTATAGATTAATTGTGGATTGCACGTTTTCGGTTTTATCCCTCAACTTTAAATTATTATTGAAATATACTTAGTAATGTTAACGAGAAAAGCAATTTCTTTTTGTTTGACTTGGTGGTGCAAAAGTGTGAATTTTTTGTTACTTGTGTTTATTTTCTCTGTAAAAATCTTTGGAAACGGGTTGGCTTGTTATTCATTTTTTTATGCGTGAAGTGAGAGTCTCCTCAAGTTGTTATAAACACATTCAAAACAGACGCCGGGCTTGCTTCCTAAGGTTAGTAAAATAATAAAGCCAAAGGGAAGTTTAAATGAAATGGTTGGTGACTTCTTAAAAGACAAAATTTGCATTTGTGTCATTTGCAATTGGAAAGATCTTTGCAACATTTAGAAAAACACCTGCAACGAACACGTGGACAATTATCTGTAGATTAACAAAACCTCTGCTTGAGCTTCGTTTGAAATGGTCAAAGGTACTTTGAGTGATCTCTTTCGTAGTAAAACACACAGGCGGAGACAGATGCACCTTTATGTTAATTATAATTAACTTTAATTAAACTACAACCAATAATAAATTTTAAATGAAAACACAGACACGCAAACAGAGAAAAAGATTATGTTCTGTCGTGCTTAGAAATGCTGGGATGTTCACATTTGTCGTGCACATCGTGGTTACATGCAAATTAATAAAATGATAATTAATTTAAAGGGCTAAATTGTACTAAGTTCGCGGTTGTAACAACTGAAAAGCAAAGACAAGCCAGTGAGTTCCAGTAAGAACAATGTCTGAGATCCAAAGTTTCTTGCAGATCTTGATCCTCTCGATTCTCTGTTATCCATGCAACAGCGCAAGAGAAAATTGCGCGTTATCAGAGTTCAGGTTGCGCGGAGGTTACGTTTTGGGAGGGCTTTTCGAAGTCCACCTCCATGATCTGGATTTTCTAAAAGCGCAAAGTAACAGCCGCCCTGAAGCGTTACATTGCGACAGGTAAGTAGGCTACAGTACGTTGCCTAAACCCATTAATGTCACATAAGTTGTTATCATATAGTTTCAAAAACGTCTTAAACTGTAGATTCGCTCTTCGTTAATCAGAAACGACCTTTCGATCGGTGATTTGCGCATTTTTTCACGATAAGACAGGAAAAATTAATTAGCAATAAAATAATCCCCATCGCCGTAATCACTGGAATTATAAATTATTGTTTCTAAATTATTAATTCTTAAAAGTGTCTTTTTAGCCTAATGAACGTTTATATCATGATTACAATTGAATACAATTCAATGAATACAATCAATGTACTTAAAGTCGGATAACGGATATTTCAAGCTTGGAGTGGAAGTGGAAAGTTTAAGTTGACCAACCAAAAAAGGTTGTGGCATATTCAGACATTTTTCATACACTTGCATTTTGTTAATCAGAGAAAAAATAGAACCAGCATTGAATGTTCCAATGTAACAGCAAAATGCAAAGTTCCCAAAAATGTGTGTACCATTGTTGTACTTGTGCTTGATTTTCAATAAAATAGTTATTAGAGAACACGAGCATATCCTTTCCTTAATATCATAACCTCATGTTTTGTGGGTTTTTAGGAGAGTGATAATGGTTAAAAATAATGGTTACAAATGAGAAGATTACCTATTTTGTTAGTGGCTTCCTGATCTGTTGAAATCAGGCATGCAATGTCTTTTCTGTCATGAGTCAGTACTGTGTTCATAAACATCTTTGAAATGTGATATGTTCTACATGTGTAACTGGTCATTCATAATTGCCATATTGGCAATTAATTGAGATACGTAGTTAGATGAAAAGAACAGACAGTGTTTTGCTATCAGGTAAGAAATTACCGTATATTGCATTTTATGCACTGATGATAGAACAATTATTCAAGACACCATCAGATAGCAGCATTCTTCACCACAAAACACAATCCGAATAATTGTTACAGTTGTTAAGTAGAATACTTGTCTTTATATTTCATTTAATAAACAAGAACAAATACAGCAAGCCCATTGCATTACCACCACCATACTATTGCACTGTATCATTTAATAGTATATAAGGAAAATGCAATCATTGATATTGACAGCAAAGAAAATCTTAAGACTTAAATGTCTCAGCTGTTACTACTGCTTTAAAACAGATAGTTAGGAACAGGTGAGACAGGTAGGAAAGAGGATACAGTCGTTTTGTAGCGTTAGCAGTATATGGGTGCAATTTACTCGAATTGGAAGATAAATAAGGCCTAAGCCTGCTCTTCTTTGGAATACTGGCAATTTCCTTTCGTAGGGTGTTGGGAAATATGTTTTGAACATGGTCTACGCAAATTAACGTAATCGACGTTTCGGGTTTTCTTATGAATAGTTGTAGAGTCATCGCGTGTTATAAGTACACAAATACATATTTAATGCTTTAAACACGTCATGTTCTGGGTGTTAAAGAGATTATAGAGCCTGGGCTACAGAATAACGTTTTGTTTGAGATAGCATCTTGGTCAACTCGGAATGCGTAAAAGCGTGTTGCAAAATTTAGATCTATTGATCTCAACTGATACATAGTAAAACGAAAATGAGCTGCTGCCTCCTACTGGCGACAGCAGTTAGGATGAGAGCTCCGTAGGGGGTTGGCTAATTTACAGAACTACTAGGATCGAATCCCCTGGGACCATAGTTGTCTGTTTATGGAAAAATGCACGATTAAACGCGTTTAAATCAACGCGAATCGTTTAAATTATGTGCACTGTATTTAGAAAAAAAGAGTAAAGAAAAAGCAAATTGGAGCCCATGTGATGAGATGGAAAACGCAGTCTGGGTTAAATCTCGGTCAATTTTATAATCAACACACCTGCGAGGTCACCTGTTCACCTGGAGGAAAAGATGGCGGCCGTTCCAAAGTGCTGAACTTCGAGGCCTACCAATGGAAGCGATATAAATTAGTATTTTGAGATGTAAATCCGAAGAGAATTATATTTTAAAAAGAAATGCATAATATGCCACCGTTTTTTAACATTTGCTGCATTGTTCAGGAGTGGATTTTATGCAAACGTGTTATTTTGCTGGGTAAGTTGGCGTTTATTATTTTGTTGCGTTTTATGTGTGTGTTACTTTTAAAGGTTTGAAACAGTACCTGCAATTACGTAGGGGTCATTGCAATTTGATTTGAAATCCAGTACAGTTATCTTTCAGTGCTTGGTTTACTGATTTGTTGATGTGCTGTTAGCCTTTTGTTTTTTTAAAGTTCGACATAATGCCTTTTTTTTATAAACGTCATTCCAAAGGATCTAAATTACCGACATGCTGTTTTCATGTAGTAATAAAAATTAATAGTGAGGTTGTCGCTGATAGATTAGAAAGGAGTTTTAATGAAGACAGCATTGGAAAAGTCGCTTCTTGATGTCATGGCAATAGTAGCTCTAATATTTAACGTTTCTTCCTTAAATGTTGGAAGTGCATTAACGATTATTTTACGATAATCAATTTTTATATATTTGAACTTAAAACTATTGTTACATTCTATTCCGGCTTTATATAAGAACTTCTGATGGTAGAACTAACATTTAATATAAATAACACATGTATAAACGTCTTAATGTCTGCTATTTACTTGGTCTTTTTTTTTAGTCTGCAGGAGGCAGCCGGGAACATTTCCTTCCTACAGTTTAACTTCGTTTCGAAGATAAACATTTTTAAAATACCGCTTTCCAGGAAAGGTGAGTTCATGTTCTTTGTAACACCATTGTTACCTCGTGCAGAAGTTCATGTATTTACCTGATAAACCGCATCTATTTTTGCGATCTATCTAAAGCCACACAAAAGCCCCTGTTCTAAAGAACTGAGTCATTTAAAACGTCCGTATTGTACGCCAGTCAGAGTAATTCCTAATATACTTAAAGCTTCTGGTATTCTGAAGTTTCTTATGAATGTAAGCCTAATCAGTGTGTCTTAACTATTCAGGATTTTTGGGCTATGTGTACGTACAGTATCATGATAAAATACCTGGTTGAACCGTTTGATTGCTCTGTACGTGTAGTGAAAGTCGGCCAAGTGTTCCACTGTATGGGACACTTTCGTGTCTAAAATATTTTGTAAATGTGCTGTAGTGTTATTTGGAGGAGCTGTTCTATTGCAAGTTATTTTGTAATCTTTAAATGCAATTTTGCCTCTATTTTTGTGCTCATCAGTGTTTAATCTGACAGAGCCATGCAAGTACCCTCTGGAAGTGTCTGTTGCAAATTAACACTGATCTGCAGTCATGTGGGGGAAAAATAGGATGTTTGGAGAACAGAGTTTCAGTCCCAGTGCTCTGAATTAAACTGTGTGTGTTTTAGTTAAATTACTATTTTCTAATGATCATTTTCTTTATTCTAGACTGTCCCAGACGTGGCCAAGAAGAACATGACCCTGGTCTTTTCAATTGTAGAAATTGTTTGGTGAATTGTACTGGTGCTTGTCTTCATTTAATTATTTTATGTGAATTTGTCCACTGTTTTATGTGGTAATGTTCTTGCCTCATGTGGACACTTAAAGCCAGTATCGGAGCCAACCAAAGTGTGGAGGTTGATGTCCATGTGATGTTAGCAGTGAGCCCTCCCCAAAGCCTCCTAATGAACTAAAACTGCTAATGAAAATGAATGGAGATAGGCAAGGGAAAGCCATGGCTGCTAACCCAAATAACTGGGAGGTGTGGTCTCTGTGTGCTGCCTACACTATATACACACTGTATATAAAGGGGGGAGATTGTGGCTATCTCCCTTTGTTTTCATTAGTGATCTTACTTCATAGTTAATTAACTGAGGGTGGGAAATGGTACCAGATTTCTGTTCAGCCAGGTCATGAGGCAGGCAGAAGAGCTTGTGCCAAAGCCCGACTCAACATCCTGAAGGTGTGAGGGGAACTTGGCCAGAAAGCCTGCTTTGAGTACTGCAGAGAGACGGTTTGGGCTCACAGGACAACTCAATGAACAAGCAAGATGTACAGCAAACACCACTTTATTGAGTGCATATTAAAAACATTTACAGCTAGAGTGCAACAGGATCAGAACCATGTTTGAACACAACTGGATCGAGCTTGAAACAGCAAACCACCCATGCCTGCTGCCATCAGGGAAGTGCTGGAGATTATTTTCCTAAATGAAAAAATACAAAAAGATGTTGTTAGACACTGTACAAAGTTACAAATGTTCCTTCAAAGATTAAAGCAAGCAAATACTAGTGAAAGGAACAGTATTCTTGGTTTAAACCAGACATATGACAGACATCAAGCTGTATATGCAAATAACAGCATTATTTTGGAAATTCTTATAAACATTTCAATTGGTTTGTAAAGGTAAACATTATACAAATAGAAAAAAGTCAAAAGGATATACACTGCAGCTAATTTAAAAAAGGAACACTCCAGTTAATGCTACACTGAAAACATTTCAGGATGGTATCAAAATCTACTTGTTCCTTTACAGCTCAAACCTCTAATTTCAAACAGGGTATGATCTTTATTGCCCCTATACTTTCAAGCCAGTAAATAAACCAACATACTCAAAAATAAAATGTATATAATATTGTACTTATCATTGATATTAGTCTTATGATCACACATACAAAATGCTTGACTGCCTGCCACAGTACTTTGAGGGCAATGTACAATGATGGCAAATACAGTGCCTTACAAAAGTATTCAGACCCTTCCAATGGTGTGTCAGTCCCATGGAGTCTCATTTTATGAAACTACAATTTTGTAAAATTAATTTTAAATCTGAATGCTCAAACTGAAGACTTCTTCTAAATCAAGAAAGGTACATTAAATGTCACCCAAAACTAAAGAGAAAAAAATGAAATGGTTAATTGCATAAGTATTCAGACCTGTGAACTCAATATTAGGTGGAATCACCTTTAGCAGCAACTACAGTCACATGTGTTTTTGGATTAATCTCTACCAACTTTGCACACCAACCAGATGCACACTTTGCCCATTCTTTTTGGCAGATTTGCTGATACAAAATGAAAACTGCAGGGGTGTGCATACTTTTACAAGACACTGTAAAATGAACCAGCATTCCTGTACATATATTGTATAAAACTACCCAAGGGGATTTGGAGTAACTAACTACTGTACAAAGGCTTGGGCTGAGAATACTACAGAACCAAAATAAACTCCAGACATTAGTGGGCACTCCTACACATGCTATAGTAATAAGAGCTAAAGAAGAGGACTCGAGGGTCTGCAGGCAAACAAATACAGCACAAAAAGTCAGACAAATTAGATAAGTGATCTGTTATACCACTTGACAGTCCCTGCCTTAGAGCTCACAAGGGAAAAAAGAGAGAAGGGTCTAACACCACCTGGTGAGGAGACACAGAGGCAGAACTGAAGAGAATGAGGCACACCTGGAATGAGGTAGCTCACAGTCCAGTTTGCTGGAATACAGTCGCTGAGGTCCTATGCTCCACAGGGTGCAGTGGGCCTACTTCAACAAGCCTGGCAGCTCTCACTGGAGAAGGTATAAGGACCAGCCCCTGGTGTAGAACAGAGGAAAAGAATTAGAGTAATTGTATTGAAGCACTGCAGTTCACGCAATGATTTTCAATAGGTCCCAAGTGGGAAAACAATGTTTTGTGAAAGAGCAGCATAACTGGTTTACAACATGTTCAGGGAGAGAAACATTTTATAAAAATCATTACAGTTTCAATTATTCTAAGCAAGTTAAAACAATGCTTAAGTGGTACATACAAATTACAAGCATGATGCAGTAATACCATATAAAACTGTTGAATAAATTATCATTTTTGATCATGCCTCTTTTGAATTGAAATTAATTTCTATTAATTATTACGATTTCTTTCTGGACCAGAACAACCAGCCATTCAGTAGACTGAAGGGCTCGAAACTGGTCCATTTCGAACCTTCTTCCTACCATAAGACATCCATATCTTCATCGCTGATCAACAAAGAAGAATGTCTGTGTTATCATTTTACAGATTTTAAACAGTTGTGAAAGGTTTGTATTTCATTTTAACATGTCACAGTTTAGTTTAGGTCCTTGTCTACATCTCCTGAAGTTTGTGTGTTGTGCCTCCTAGTAGTTGAGGACCAGCAAACACTTGAATACTACAAGCTTACGATAGGAAATGTTCATTGAAATCAAACATAAGGTCAAGAGGGGATTTAATATAAACCAACCCAGATATTTATAAGGAGAGAAAATATTGATTTAATATATTTTGATATATAATTGATATACCTCATAAGGGCAAACAGTCTCTCTGCTAAATGTATGTGATTGTGAATGTATCAGTTAATGGAGTGATTGTATTTTGCAGACCTGAGACATATACAGCCTGTCTCAACAGATACTGCAGCAATATTTCCATTGGGGGATCTTCAATTCGGATAGATCAAGTATGGATCATCACCGATGCAGTATATTCACAAATTGAATGTATGCATACTCTACTGTACATCACACCATGGACAGATCATCTCATAAATCATTGTTTCTGCAAGGCAGTTGTAATAAAGACAAAGGTTAACAGGAACTGCCTACTGACAATAAAAGTAAAGCATAGATTACACTGTAAGGGTATAGTTTCTAAGAATAAACAGAGAAAACCTTTACTAAATCCTTCAATAGGAATAAACCTAAATTAGAAAGAATACTCACCGTCAACTCTGAGAAACAATTACAGAGCACTCAATGGGCAACAGACCTGGGGGAAAAAATATTAATTATTAATCATTCAAAATAACAGTGAAGTTAGTGCAACTTTCTAGCGCTTTTAATAAGGAAAAGTTTAATTGGCGTTTCTGAACGACGTTAGAACAGAGTACTTTGCTAGTATTTCCTTATTTATTGCGGTTGATCTGCGTTATAACAGATAGCAAACGTAACATAACGTTAAAAATTAGATTCAAAATAGAATTTTAGAATTAAAATAGTCATAATTGAAAAGATGAGTTCGTGAATTTCACAAGTTTTACATACTTTACTAAAAACTAAATTTACGGGGCTAATTTTTGCCGCCGTCTCCATTAACTACTGTTTGCTTAGTTCTGCTGTTCAGTGACTCAAATACCCTTTTCTTCTCACTTTTATTACGATTTCGCTCGTCAAAACAAAAAAAGTCAAAACAACAGCTCAAGAATTTTAAAAATATAGCTTTAGGACTCTCAACCCATTTAATATATTTATCCATCGAAAACAGAAGGAATACGTTTGATAACGAGAAGAGAAGACCTAATCAATTTTGAAACATTTGATAAAAGATAACCGAACAGAAATGGCAAAAATAATTCAAACCAGATTACAGCAGACAAGGAAGCAACAGAAATACAATGTGTTTGAATAAAAATAAACAGTTTTTCAAAGCCTTTCTTCGCTTTGCATTTTCCGCCATCTTACCTGGCACAAGCGAGGAGGGCGGAGTCTCTTCGCGAAACACCTGCGGACCGGAACCCCGGAAAGCAGTGCCTGTAGTTGCGTGGTGATTGTGCCGAGCAGCCACGTTACTTGTACCATGAATTCCAACATTTCTGCAAGTGTGACTGAACAGTGAAGAGCTCTGATAGGACATGTTTTATGGAAAGTGCGCACAGTTCTCATCAGTTCTATGGCAGCATAAAGTTACGCCTGTGAAGTGGTGTTCGGTGGTGTAAAGTATGCAAATAAAAATAACAGGAGATTCCAAATGTTAAGTTAAAAAAGAAGTATTGGTAAAGGTAGAAAATAATTGTGCAGAGACGTTACTAGCAAACAGAGCATGGATATGTTTCGCAGAAAGCTATATTACAGCAGTGACTTTGCAGAGTGGATAAATAACATTGTTGTTTCTCCTGCTAAATGTCCAGAAGATTTGTTTCGTTGTGATTGACAGCCATAAAATAAATATAAAGTGTGTAGTCTAGAGCTTGGAAATTACCATAAAACAGAGGCTACACTAAACAGTGAAAAGAAAAAGCTCAGGATGCTACTATTCATTGTCTCAAGGTCTACCTCTTTAAACAGACCATTGCATGACCGATATGACAGTTAGTCCACAAAAGAAAGATTGACACTTCATTATTAATGACACTTTTAAAACAAATCACATCACAGCTCATTCTATTTATTTTGTAGACACTGTACAGGGGTAAGGCATTGTTTTAGAACTAAGCTGAATTGCTATGTTTAAAGAAACAAGTAATGCCAAAGTTGAATTTGTGTGCAAACATGCGTTGTGAACACAGGCCAACAGATTGTATCTGCCTTTACGGTGATTAATAAAGAGATCACTCAGTACCTTTCATATTGTGCATGTCCATGACAACTGTACAGATTTGCATTCCCTGCTCCGTTTCCTGCTTATGTTGCTATATTTACAATGCCTACTGTTCTGCTTTTAATAGTATGATGAACTGACATGCTTACTGAAAATACAAAGACATTATCAGCATTGTTGCCAAGATTCAGCACACATGGTCTCTACCAACTGTAATGTTGGGTTTTCAAAGAATCTTTAAGCTACATTTCAAAGGTTTTTCTCATTAGAATACATGCCAATGCTGAGAAATGTCTGCTGGAGATGATTGGTACAGTTTTGCTCAACTCTTACAATACGTTCATGTTGTTAACAGGTAAAATTCTGGATTTTTCATTAAAAGGTGCAGAATTGTAGACGGTGTCTGGTATGCTTTCTAAATTGATTTCCGGGTTCCTTTTATTTTAGTATTCATTTTTTATTACTATGGTGTTTGTTAAGATGTCCTCACATTTTTTAAAGAATTTCGGTGTGGTGTTTTTAAGATTAGAAAAAAAAAACACTTAAAATGTGTTTTGACTGTTAATTTCTATGAGTAGCCAAAAGGTTGATATCATGATACAGATTTCTGTATTTTGCTTACTTTAAACTTGTAATACAGTAGAAAACACCTTTTCGCACAATTCAGAAAGTACGTGATGCTGCTGGAATAATTGTTCATTCTAGTAGTGTCTGTGGCAATAGCCAGTTCATGCCTTTTCCTCCTACTAACTGATCATGTTTGTTGTCCAGAGTGACAGAAATTATAAATTTCTCTTTTCATTAATGTATTTTTTTTTTGGCTGAAACCTGTGAAACAATACCAATTATTTATGGCTAAATCCGATATAAAGGAAGAGTTCCGGTCGGAAACATTGCCTGTGTTATACAGTATACTGTACAGTACGTGAAAACAAACCATCTAAAACTTGGAGAAATTAGAATGATGGACAATGGAGACGCAGTGGAAAGAGGCAGAAAATTGTCAATTTGTACGAACACGAGGACCTGTTGCTCTTGGTTGTTTTTTTACCCCCAAAGCGTGAAACCATTTCAATTGAACTCCATTGCATTCTCTTGACAATTAGCCACCCCTGCTACACTCCACGCTGCGTTTATCATCCACCAATTTCATAGCAATTTTGCGGTGCATTTGGCGCGCGTAATCAGACAACAGGGTACAAACTCTGAAGGCCAATAGCCTGGAGACTAGTGAAACAGTCTGTATTAATTGAGAGTTTAAGAATAAGAATGTCTGAGATTAAATTGTCAGAATTTAAAATCCATATGCCTGTACGCCTGTTTGTGCTATGTTTAAAACGTGGTGGGCTCATATATTTATCTTGTACTAAACTCTAAATGTAATATACTGCATCTTGTTACCCCTTCTAAATAATACAAAAATGTTTTGCCTCTGGTGTTTTAATACAATCGAAGACTTTAAATGCACAATAATAATGAGAAGAAAGACGAAAATAACACATGCAGTTACTTGATAAATTACGAAAATGCAGTAATTATTCCAAACGACGGCGACTGAAACTCGTTGTATGCGTAATACTGTTCGTTTAAGAACATAAAAGAATTCTTTATTCAGATAAATCGAGAACATATTCTTTACAATGGCGACATATCCAAAGATTTTACACCACTGTCACACAGAAGACCGGTGGAAAAATAACGTCTTCAGGTTGCTGTGCCATTTCCAACGAGTTCGAAGTCCATGAAATGATCCGAGGATTAAACTAGATTTTTAAAGCAGCCTAATGCTCTATTCCATTGTTTGAGTAATTGGACGGACTCTAGTAATTCCAAAGACACGTTCTTAGTAATTTTGATCATGCCGCCGTTCAGACTGTCTGTGTGTTAATGACAGGCATTGGTGTAAAGTCATGCCTGTGTAGCCTATTCATATGCAGAAGAAGAGCGGCTCGTTGAAGCCCAGCGAGGACTGCGTTGTCTTCATTCCCATGGAGGCCTCAAGCAAGAAGAAGGCAGCAATGCAGTCGCGTTTAGAAACTCCGGCAAAACTACCGCCACACGACAGAACGGTACGGCACTTGACACCCCTCGCTTTGGATTGACAAGTAAGACGTTTTTTCCTAATGGAAACCCTGAATAACGTTTGTGTTTTCGCCACAGATCTCAAAACTGTTAATGGAAAAGAAAAGAAGAGCAAGGATTAACAGTTGTTTGGAACAGCTGAAAACTCTCCTTGAAACGCAGTACCCCAAGGTATGTTAAGCCTACCCGCACTGGCGTTGTCAATGAGACTGTAGCTAACGATACAAAGAGAAACGCTTTCTAGCGAAAACGGCTAAAATGCAATAGAGCTGATCTTTTGATAGCGTACTGTACGACTTTGATTTGCTTACAGATTTCCAAACATAAGCTTGAGAAGGCTGACATTCTGGAGATGACGGTTACGCACTTAAAAAAAATGCAAGAATCCAATCAAGGTATTTGTTTTACATTGATATATAGAAGCTTAAAATATCAAAACTGCAGGACGGTAGCATGGTTCCGAGTATGGTGACCTCTAATCACGAGTAGATTCATTGTTTATAAATTAGGGCTTTAAAGACGAAGGCCAAGAACAGTTGTACGTCGAAAAAAAAGAGCTGTAATGAAGCCACGGAAAACAAATCTGAAATGTACCATCATTGTATCAAATGTATCACCATTTGACCTCCAGATAATGTTATCCTATGGCAACAGGAGGGGAACTGTATTAATGAATCTCCACCGAAATTGAAAGACAAATTCCACATTACCATTGTATAAATGCATGTATTGACATTCGCAGTGAAGTCATATGCAGGTTTTAAGGCTTTTTTTTCTTAAACGTTGACCCTTTAACGCTTTTCTTTCTCTTTCAGACTTCTCTGGAAACGAAATGACTGCTCAACTTCACCTCTCCGGTTTTAAAGGCTGTGTGGAGAGAGCCGGCAGATTTGTAATAAATCAGCCCGACGGTAAGGGGTTGGCGCTGCACCTGCTTAGCGGGCTATCTCGACCCCCAGCGCCACAGCGCCCTGGCTTCACTTTTGACAGCGCCATTAAGAAAAAAACACATAGTGAAACTCCAACAAATGACAGCCCCCGAACTGCTCTCTACACTTCAGGAAACATGAACAGCATTCTGTCCGTGCCCAAGGTCCTCTATCCTCCAAGAGAACCGAGCGTGAATGTTGCGCCTGGCGGTAGGAAACCGATTAATCAGACAGACGTTGACTTTTCAAAGTCAACGCAAGGTGCCAACATCCATATCTATTCTCCGAATTCAAAAAGTAGGACCTGTGCGTCTGGACCAGCACACTGGAGACCGTGGTGAAGAACTTTCTCCGAATGCCCCATCAGAGGCTATTCTTCAAATGCACTTTCCTCAGTTTCCTTGTAAAAATGTACACAAGTTGGTGTTTGCTATGTAAATGTTCAATAAATAATTAAAACAGTTTCACTAATTTTCAACATGTGAGCATATAATAAAGTATTTTTCATTCAACTCTTTTTTATGTCCATTTAATTTAGTAGATATTTTTAATTCATCAGATTTTGTTCCAGAACAAATAGCGATTAATCGAACAAAAAGTATTATCTTTATTTTCCGTGAGAACACCGTTTTGTTAAGTTTGTTTCTGTGGTTTAACGTGGAATTCTTATACTAAGGTGGGCAAGACAAGTTCTCATTAAAATGGAATACATCTAAAATATGAAATGCCACTAATTTATAAAAGTCGAATGATACAGTACGTTGGGAATTAAGCAATGAAATCAAAGATAATGACATCAGATTTTAATCAAAAACATCAGAAGGACAATGAATTAGTAGATTTGTACCGGACATTAGAAGAATGCATTGGAATATGTCTATGGGGTTTCTGAACAAATTCGTTTTTCATCGTGCTTACGTTGAAGGCCCAGGGGTATCGCAGTTTAACGGGCATGATTTATAAGTTGTCATTTTCATTTGGAAATAAAAGTAAGAAAATGAAAAATGTTCAGTTTTGTTTTCTCCCAAGTTTTAAATTTTAATGAAATCTCTTAGAAAACAAATCGTCCAAGGTAGTGGCATCATTTAACACTGTTGTAATAAAGACGACGAAGGGGGTGCTTTAAAAATAAAAAAACTGCATGTCTCGGAGAGCAAAAAAGAAGACTAAAGTTTCTTTATATAAAAAATGGTGACATTTGGCAATGTACCAAATATCACCTCTACTGTGCTGTAGGACGCCGGACAAATGGTTATCAAGGTGTTTTGTTACTTGACAGGCTTTTACGTGTTTTTTGTTTTTAATTGTATTCTGACTGAGGATTGATCGCAGGAACCATTCTGAATTCTCCATTAGTGCCACCCTCCTGTGCGATTCTGCTCACATAGTGACAATAGTCGCATCCTTAGGCAATGCTGGAGTTTATTAACAAGTCTACGTTTTTTCCAAAATTGGAAAATTGGCCAGACTAGTACCAAAACCGTTAAAGTAATGAGAGATTGGGACGTTAAACCCTGTTCGACGGACTGCAATCAGGCAGGATGCGGGAAAGGTCGGTGCTTCGTGGGTTGGCAAAACCCTGAAACGCTAAATGACCATTTTGTTGGACCATTGTGGACCATTGAATGGAGTGGTTTGGTGCTTTCCGCGAACGATGTAGCGTGAAACTAGGAACGAATCGTTTGATTGGTGCCTCCAAGTCTGGCATATGGAACCATCCCCTCACTCCGCAGTAACTGCAAAGGCATACAAATGGCGATTTCATACCAATTTTGTGGCGAATTTCAAGCAGTTGACGAGCCGCACACGTCGCAAGGAAAATGTTAAGATGCGATCAGCTCCATTATAATCCTCTGTGTGTATATGTGTTCTCCTGAGCCGAATTTTACTCTTACTCTTGGGAGATAATGCGCCGTGTTAAAACTGGTATATTAATGACGTTTATAGTTTCAAGTATATATGTAATGGCTATCCTAAAACAATTTGTGGAGATAATATTATAGTTTGTTACATTAGCCATCTGCGACCTCTGCATTCACGAAAGTCTATTAATCCATTTTCACTTACCGTCGATATACCCTTCGTTTTCTTCTGTAAGTAACAATTCGTCTCGCTGTCTTTCGTCTTTGATTAGGAAGTAAGCGTTTTGGTAAGACCATAACACGCGATTCGCAAATTCATTGAGACGTGAAGTTAAAAAAAAGCCAACATCAGTTCCCCAGCGAATTGTTCTTTTTGACAGCAGGAAATACATCCTGTCCTGTTGTTTTGTCACGTCGAGTTAAACTATGAAACTGGTGCTTTAAAAGAATTTACACCAGAACCACACTTTGTGCTCTATTTAAATTTAAATTTAAGAGTAATAAGAAGTGGATGTACTGGATTTAAATAATTTAGCCTACAATTAAAAGTGGTGGTTATAGGGTCTCAGCACTACACCTATAAAACGGGAACAGCTGAACTGGTGGTGAAAGCTGTTATAATGCCTTTGTGCATCTTGTTCTGCACATACTCTTAGTCCCTTTCACACTTGAAAAGCCGGCATATTTTCTTTTGCCTCAAAATATGAAGCGAGGAAAATCGGAGGAACGCCTCCCGGCTTTTGAGCGGTACACTCCGATTTTCCACTTTTGCGATAGAAAAGAAATTCCCTGGGAAACCTGTTTCCCTCCATCGGACATAATAAAACGTCTTTCTCTCCAGTGCCCCCCAAAAGTAACTAACGCTTGGCGAAACTTGAAAGATGGTGTTCATGGACCAAAGAGATACACCGTGACATGAGAGCCCCCGGATAAGGGCAGAATATACAGTATCTACAGCTGCTGCTGTTGTGGCGCTATTAGGCTCAGACACTTCTCATTTCATCCTGTCTGCCAATATATCTTCCCCAAGAAATTCGCTGAAAGGGACAACTTCAAAATCGCAAAACGAAACCCCACTGGCATTGCAATGAGTATGATCCATCAAATCACAAGGCCGTGAGCTTGCAAACATCATGTATGTTATCAAGCCAAACCTGGGAGAGAAGAATAGCCTAATATCGTGAACGCCCTGCTATCGGAATCAGTCCTTGAGAAGTACAAATTACACATCTCTCACTTCACCAATTTCAGCTCCATCCATAAATCAATTTTCTTGGACAATGTATACATTTACTATGCACTGAAAAAAATGAATTTAAACAAATCGTACCATATCAATGAATTAACATATTAATCAACATCAATAACAAATGTTCTTTGTTAATACGTTGATTAGAATGTTGATTCTAAGACTTTTGTGTTGATTCTGAAGCATGATGTTATTATGAAGCATTAACGGGAATGTATAATTTTCTCCCTCTCTGATTTTAACATTTTTTAATTTACAGGGGGTCTGGGTTGATCTCTTTGCGTACAGATGTTTTCCAATGAAGTTCTCCACGCACATGAAAATGTCCCATATGAAAGACTCGAAGATATTGTTATTCAGTCCTTGTGCTGAGCAAAACAGAGCGTGCTGTCAGGATCTTCATTTACAACTCTATACGAACACCGCGCAACTCGTTCACCCGCAATCTGATACAATGACTTCAAGTGCTTCAGTTTGCAGGCTAATCAACATTGCTACTCAATACACTGTACGTAGAATTATAAAGAACAATGAGTTACATACAAGTTTGATATTCTTAAAGTCTTAACACAGCCGTTCGTCCAGAAGTTAGTTTTTCATGTTTTAATAGTACTAAATACACTTAATTTAGGATTTCATTTGTAATATTTGTAGCCTAAAACATCAGTCCAATGTATAATAATATGCATTTATTAAATAAATTTGATTACATTTAAATTTTCAGCAAATATTTTGAGTATCTCCGCGAATTATACTTTTCAATACCGCACTCTTTTAGACTCTGTAGCGTGTCTACTTGTAGGAACTGGAGTTCGAAAGCAATAGTATGCCCATATGTCACATACATACTTGTCGTAATTCCGCATAATGAAGAAGTGAAAAGATCAAACAAGTTCTTTTTAGTCCCAAGAACTAACCCGCGCGTCAGCTACAGTAGGCGAGGGGTGGCGCAGGTCATAAACAACTGAATACATCCCCATGCGACTGGAGGAAATAGAAATTAGCAGGAGGAGATGTCATGCAAACAGTAGTTTATAAACTAATTTCACGCTCTGTGGCGCTCTCTAGGTCGTAAATGAACAGAAACAAGGTGATGATATTTGCGTAGGCTACATACGTCTACTTCAGTAATGAAAGAGTTAATCTGATACCTAATTCATATTTTACTTCATTTGTTTAATTTTTAAAATGATGAAATAATCCATAGAGACAGAACAATGTGCAGCAACATTATATCATATATTTACTTATAAATCCTTTTTAAATAATGATGTTTGAAGCTCCGCAAAATGGATTTTTGACTTGCTTTGCAATTTTCTATTTTGTTTCCATTCAATTCAGTGCTTTAAACATACCTGTTGTTCACCCCCGTGAGTACAAATTAGAATGATAAGTGAGACATTTTCTGCATGCGTTTACTGTATGTACTCGACGGTCATTACCTGTCAGGACTTGTGTTAAGCGCCTAATCCTTTTAAGCGTGTTTTACTGCAGCAGCTGCAGCAAAAATCAAAATGGATGAAAAGGGCATTAGAGATTTCTTCACAGTGAGCAACTGAGAAGAAAAAAGCGACTAATGACGTCGTATACATTAATGGTACCCCAGGGAAGTGAATTTGTAAGTGTGTGATTGTATAAAATCATGTCAGACAAAAATTGCTGTCCTTTTTTAAGAAATCCACAAACATATACGACTAATGACAACGAAATTCAAGAGAATTCATTTGCTAGTCTTTTTCGTACTTAAAAGTAGCTGCAATTGTCCGGGGATAAATCATATTAACCTTACAGTAGTATTTATGCAAAATATAATTATTTGTCATGTTTCTACGTTAAATTCGGTTTTATGTATTAGGTGGACCTCAGTTTAATAAAACGTTTGATAAAAAAGGACTTGGATTTCGTTTGATCTTCTCTGCACTGTTTAGCGGACGCTTTTGCATGCTAATGTACGCAGTCTTAAAAAAGGAAAGAGACAATTAAAAGCCACTGATGACACTGCAATGAATCATCATATAGCAAATTACTCCTCACACTACAACCGCGTGTGCAAATGAAGACAGTCGCTGGTCATCTTTTGTTTTACTCAGAGACCCCTTCTCGCGCCCAGGCTCAGTGTTTCTGTGCAGGATATGTTTTAAACAATACAATCACAAAAATGTGCAAACACAAATTAAATAATTTCAGAGCAATAATCACTTCGATTCATTCGGCTTTCAGTTGGCACGATCAAAGACGGAGAAATACACCGACAGTCCTACAAACATGCCTCATACAGGACATCTACAAAAATAAAACCCCACCACATCGCTTCATGAAGTTTAATTCTAATTATTATACGCGTGTGAACATGTAGGATTTATAACGTTTATTTTAACTGAAATTCTAATTACATGCGATCAAGTTGTTCCGTTCCGATTTCGTGCATTTTTACTTCTTTAAGGTACGTTTTGGACGGCAAACCCCTACGTCCCAACATTAACGCTTTAACACATTTAACATCCGCTTAGTTTTCTTTAAATTGTGAAAAGTTACCGTTTAGATGTTCAGCCCTTCACCTCGTAATCTTTTTGTTGTTTTTCTAAGGGTAAATCACTGTACACAAAATAGCCCACTGCCATTCTTATTGAAATCTGTCTCAAGTGGTTTGGTGTAAATGACAGATGTTTAGCAATTGAAGGCTCAGCAATACCCGAGAGCTATAGTGTTTTACAATGAAGGGGAGACTCTTTTGTTTGGCACTTGTCTCTTTCAGACTGGATAAGAGAAACTGCGACAAAGGAGCAAATCCTTTGAGGGGTTATAAAGTTACTTTTCCACTAGTTCATTTCGACTCTTGAGAAAATACAATACGATGTTAATGCGCACTTCTGTTCCATTCAGACTGTCAGCCCAGTGCACATTGCCAAATACAACCTATTGTGCCACAGAACCAAAGTAAAGACTCTTAAACAACCTGAAGCCCAGTCTATAGAAATTCATGATATTACATGTTTGATCAGAACCCTGTCATCAAGAACGTCGCGTGGCTCTTTATTTTACGTTTTCGTAATTAAAACAGGTGAAAACCCTGCCTCATGCTCGTGTCACCTGCATTACCAGCGTGATGACCTATAGATACACACCTGTTAGCAATCCTTTCTCGAAGTTTGGTTGGTGATTTCTGAATGGTCTTTAAGGCGGTTCCTCGATTTTCTTCGCTCCGAGAGGCTCCATTCTTTCCGTCGGACAGGATCCTGCATAATGAACAGTTAAAAAAATGCTTCGGATGAAGTATACATGTTTAATGCTTGATCGCACCAATACTGGAAGACATATCGTCATGAAACAAGAGTTTAGCGCAAAGTAATATGTTATTTTACGCAACGATGAATGTTGCACCAAAACGACCTCATAGATATAAAAACATGCACTTTGTTCTTTAAAAAAAGCAAAATTAATAGAATGAATTTAAATGAATAACAAACATTTCACATCTTAATTGGATGTGTAGCCATACCTTTCTGTTAAATGAGACCACGACCACTTTACTGAAAAGGGTGTTTTTTTTCATATATGTTTTCTGATCTACCGCCGACTTCAGCAGGTGTGTACGACACACGCCTCCCATTACATGTCGTCACAACTTTCCATTCCTTATCCTGGTAGCCTGTTGTGCCCTTGAAACGACTTTCAATTGCTAATTAAAACGATACAGCGAACTTCAGAAGAGGTTTATTGCGGGTAATTGTATAATTGGTTGACTAATTGCTGTTAACAACACCTATAATACTCCAATTATTGTAACACTTAGTTTAGATGTCCCGCTGATTTCAGCGCATGACAAAAGCTCTTGATAGTTAATCAGTAACCGCCTTAAAAAGTGCTTGAAGACGTTTTTAAAATGTTGCAGACGTCGACTTTTACATGGGTGGGCGTGCGCCCGCCGTAAGAAAATTATTTTGTATGTGGTGTCTTGAGTTGTCTGACGCCAGTAATTGTAACTTATTGTCAACAGCAGTTTTTGTTAGAATGGAAATACTGCCTCAGTTTCTATCTAGAAAATCCTTTAAAGATACATTTGAGTGAGAGACAGAAGCAAGGCGGTCAATATGAATATTTTCACTATTCTTTGTAATCAACCGAGTATAATAATAACTTCTTTTTTAGAATAAACGTATTTAATGTCTTTAAATTTTAAATAGGCTATTATAATATGGGATTCCGGTTTAGCTGAGTTTTTTTTTTTACTAAAGACAGAGGCCGATTCAACCTTTTCAGGCTGCCAGACTGAAGGAAAGTTAACTCTGGCAAAGCTGAAAATTACCACGGTTCTGCTTGTTAAACTTGAGCGTGGAAACACAGAAAAACCAAAGGAACCCAGTCCTCACAAAAGAGTGAAATCAGCCTTCATACACTGAAGAACCACATTCCGATTTCATACTCATTTAGCGGTGTATTATGCTACTTTAAAACTTTGCCTAATAGCGGTACATCAATTTTTCGGTACATTTTACGGAATTAAATGAAGTCACAGGGGTTGGATGATTTCGAGTCGCACTGTGGAAGCAGGAGAGCTCAGAAATATAGAAGTGTGGGATGAATCGCTGTATCTTACACAACACCCATACTGTTCTCAATGTTTTAGAGTCAGAGAGGAAATTCCTTCTAATTTGTTATCGTTATAGAAGTATAGAAATGCAGACAAGTAATATATTTCCGGAGATATGGAAAACAAAAAGTAACACGAACATTTTACAATGTATTCATACATACAATTATATTCATATAATTTAGATGTTTAGAACATACTTTCTTTTGAGAGAGCAAGTTCTGCTTATAATACAATATTAAACAAATCCCTGATAGTATTTTCAGAAAATTATGATGTAACATAACAGAAAAGGTCTGTTGTTGAAATTTTATTCGTTAGGCCATAAATGAAAAGGTTTATCATAATCTAATTGTGCTATGAATTCGAATATAAAAGATATGGGAAATACTTTTCTGTAAATTGGATTGGATAGAATGAAATATTCGCAAAAATACTGACACAGTAAGGACTGAATTCACCATGAGTGGTTTTTAAATGGTTGACCGCGATGTTAAAAAAATACACAAATCTTTTTAGAATGCCATGTTTGAGTACTTTAAAGTTCCTGCAGTTAAGCTATGAATTGCCTTGAAATGGGAATGTTCATTAGTCTTCTGGATTTGGTGGAGTTACGTTCATTTATATATATATAAGTTCTTGTACCGAGGCAGTTTGAAATTGCCCTTCATGTCATAGAAATACACGTATTCTCCATATATATGTATAAAAGACTGCAATTGCGAGTGTTTGTGTTATGAATCAACGACACACGATCAAGGTCTCCCTTTCCAAGTCAAACATTTACTGCCACGTATTCACCAGCTGTTTCAGTGAGTGAAATTCGTATTTTGTAAAAAATTCCATCGTGTGTTAAATGAAATATAATAATCTTAACATTTGAAATTGTTAAGGATTCTACAGTAACGTTATCAAGTAATGCATATGCATTTAAGAATATGAAAGTCAAGAGATGAAATATAGACTGTACTCACTATAAAATGAAACTAAAAGAGCAGGTGTTTTGAACACAATAACGTCTTAACAGAGTTCTGTTGTAAACACAAACACCACTTGTGCAGTCGATCACATGTTTTGAATTATGTTCTTTTTTTCAATAGCAAATTCTTTTGTTTTCAACATATATCTGTTGTAGTCTTCTGGCCTTTACTATCGAGCCACAATAATTTATCGAAAAGAAAAAAACCAACAGATAAATATAAATTTAAAGAAGTTCCCGAAAACAAAAACTCCTATATCATCGAGGCTCAAGCAGACACCCCGCTTTCTCAAGGAAAGCTTCTTTTGTTGGGTCAGTGCGGAAAATCAGAGAGCACGGAACCAATGCCTGGAGGCGTTCCGACGATTCTCCTCGCTTTGGAATGTCTGGGCGAAAAAGAAAGTTAAGAAAAGATACAGAAAAAAAAGAAATTCTGTATCCATTGCTTTTGAGTTCCGCAGCAGAACTCTCAAATCACTGCGCACCGACTTATCTTTGTTATAAGACATAACAGACGTATGTGTTGCCTTTTAGAGTAGACATATAGGTACAGTACATGCAGTACGACCTGCATGTAAATAAAGTAGGATGAAAATATCAATACAACTCTCAATACAGGAATCACACGAGGAACGTAACCCATGCTGGCCACAGATACAGCTGTAGGCGTGTAATACTGTCGGAAAAATCCCCCATTTCTTTGTCAATTAGCAACAGTGCTGACTTTGAGAAGCTATCTGATATTAGCAGAAAATCGAAATTCTGTGAGGACATGGACGGCATTTCCACGGTGCTGCCTCCGACTCTGGGGCGTGAAACTCAGAGAGAAAGAGGTGAATAGCACAAGCTATGGTGGGGCACTGGGCACCGTCCCCAAACCTCACACCGCGGCCTCTGGGCTGTATCCTCCAATTATCCGGCGATTTCTACGCCGTTTTCTATTTTGCATTTTACCTCACACGTTATCTTGTGTGACTAATATTCCGTATTATGTTTCATTTTACATCAGTAGGCTACTTAAGTTTAGGCTGGGAGAACGTGAGTTGACTGGATACCAACTATTTTGATGGGTTTTTTTTTGTGTTAAATGCTGCACATTTTGAGGCAAGTTTCAATCTATTTCCATTAGATTAACGGAGGGGATTTATTCAGGGAGATAAATCTCGCCTCCCCCTTTCCTTTTCTCTCCCTCAAATTCAAATTTTGTTGCTACAGGTAGGCCAAATCAATTGCCTAAAACGAAATGGGAAAAAGTCATCAGTCTGGTAAGCCCGAGAGAGAATAAAAACAGGTGACCACTATGATCGCGGAAAAATGTTTGCGGTTCAGTGGATAACAACTTATACAACTTATCCCAAACACATTTTAGTGGTATACTTTTTCTAAACACAAGAAAGTTCTCAGTTAAATTCTTTTCGCCCTTTTGTATACATACCTGTCAATGAGGAAAGGGGATCGCACATTGTCCATATTGTTAACTTGTGCGCGCAATGAGTCATTCATGGTATTCAGATGTAAAGGGGGCTCTGTTATAAATCGCCCTGCGAGGCAGAATTCCTTCACTCTTGTTGTGGAAAAAAATCAGAGAACACATACACGATAGCTGGAAGCAAACTGGATTTGTAATAATGGTTGCAGCGTCAGAGTCTCCAGAAAAGACTGTTGTTTTAAATGGAAAGAAGGTTGGTATTTAAGAATGATTACGACTTCAATTTCGCGCATTTTTCTTGACATAAGACAAACCGAGGAAACTAAGCCAAAACAAAATGCCATTATAATATTGCTTATAAACGTCTTATATTAAACGCGCTGCTTCTGATTTTATCGTTTCAGGTCTCCAAACCTTTGATGGAAAAGAAGAGAAGGGCCAGAATAAACGAGTGTCTGGAACAGCTGAAAACCCTTCTTGAAAATCATTACACGAACAATGTAAGTCCTGATAAACAGGCGTTTAGGGTTTGAATTTTACCATCCGAAATCTGGAATGGAAACCACTGTCCCCCTCAAAATGACCATGGATGTGTTCCTCCTCTAAAGCAATGCCTATTAATCCCCCCCCCCCCAAAAAAAATTAAATATTACCCACAGCGGCCGAATATTCGCGTGGAAATGTAAGCTGCCAACAGCAATTTACTTCTGATTGCTCCACCTGCAAATCGAGGACAATCCGGCCTGTCCACAGAGTTCAATTAGATGTATTAATTAGTTTCACCACCGATCTGCCAAACTTTTGAATCAAACCGCTCTTGGCGAAACCAATCTGGTTGTCAAACATAACCGAAAATAATCGAAAGTATGCGATTTTCCTTTACAAAATAACGGCCAGTTATTAAGAATGCTTATAGACTACACAACATACGCACAGTCAAATAAATTTGGATCTGAAACTGAAATATTTATTTAGCAATACAGTAGTACTGTGTGACTTCACAAGTACAGAGAGACCATTTTAATCGAATTGTCTTTTTACGGTATGAACAAGGAGTGACAGCCTATATTCATTGAATGGATGGGTCAGATTCTTAACATAACTAGAGTTTTTTTGAAGGGTTGTGGCTAATATATGAACATATGTTTTGCACTTCTACAGATTCGAAAACGTAAACTCGAGAAAGCTGATATTTTGGAATTAACGGTGAAACATCTGCGAAACTTACATAAATACCAGCAAGGTAAGACTTCTTGATTTAAAAGTTATTTTACAAGGAGTAAGATATTCTTTATCACAAAGGGTGGAAATATTTTGCCATACTGACAATACTGTGAATAGAGCGCTTCTCAGTATTATGTCAATATAGTGCTCCGGAGGGAATAGAGAATATATGAGGTGATGATTTGCTAAAATGATAAATATGGGTCACAATAACCTAAACGTTTTATTTCCCCGTCAGATTCTTCTATCAATCCGTTAAAGCATCCTGAGTACCAGGCAGGTTTCAGGAACTGCCTGAACGGAGTGAACCAGTATTTGATGAGGGAGAACTCCACCGGAAGCATAAGGTTGAATATGCTGAAGCATTTAAGCAGCAGCATGCTGGCGGCGGGAGAACCGGCGTCCTGCAACAGCACCGCGGACAGCGACGCCGCGGAGCACTGGAGCGCCGAGGCCGCCTCGCCAGCAGCCCCGCGAGGCGTGCGCTCGGCACGCGAGCGTCTGCAACGCCTGCCTGTGTTTTGCCACCCCTTGGTGACGAGCGCACCCGAAACGTCCGCATCGATCTTCAGTACACGCCGAAGCTCCGAAACTGTAGTCGGGGGACAACATCACGACCAACACCCCTCCTCCAATGGACTTAGCAACTTATGCCAACAAGCGTTTCTTAAAGATGATTATCCAAGTGGCGGATATCATGAGAGACAGTGCAGTCGCCACGTTTCAACAAGTACTGGACATGCCTGTATTATTTCACAGAGCTATTGGCGCCCATGGTGAAATGTTTAATAGCTGGTTAATTACTTTATAGTGCTCCTTGATCCGACCCTAAGGGTCAGGACCCTAAGAATGAACTTTTTTTTTACTAATTTGCACTGTAGTCTTTATTGTATACATGTTATATTATAATACATAGGAATTATTTTTTTTCTATCCAGATATAACAAGTTGTCTTTGTAACACAACTAAAAATAAAAAAAGTTATATTGCAAAGTGTTTGTCTAGTATTTGAAATGGTGGATTTTAATTTTAATTGAATGATTGAAATATGGAAATTACTGTACCTAACTGTCGACGAAGAGAACAAAGAAATACATTTTAGGAATCTTCTTATCCAGTCGGAGACTGGTTGTACACAGTATGTCTTAGGCATCATAGTAGATATACTTACTTTTCAAAGATAATGGTTTTTAGTGCTAAAGTTTTTGTTTTACTTAAGTGTGTGTACTTCCAAAACCGATGCAAACTGTGAAATATGTTTATTATATGTTGCATACATTGTACGTTTATTTTTAAAGCCTAATCATGCAGCATTTTTAGATTCGTCTGCATGACGGTCCATACATAGCATTAAGCGATTTTCATACTGAAATATAAACGTACAAAAGAGAAGAATTCAAGAGTATGTCCAATGGGTCCAAACAGGACTTTGTAATTAATAAAATGTTTTTTAACCAGCGGTGTGTCGTAAAGGAACGAATCTTTCTAGTTTCTATCAACTTGTTGAAACGTGTCTCACGATGAAAACACGCCGCACGTTAGTATTTAGTGATGTAGAGCATGCTATAACAGAAAAAGAAGTAAAAGAAAGAAGGATGAGCTGTACGCTATACGATGATTCATTAAAAAACAGTTTGTATTCACTTTAAACAAGACAGAAGTGACAGGGATCAATTGCGTTTTCTATAGAGATATAACTTATAAAATGGCATCTATTAACCTTCATAAACCTGCATAGAAGAGGGGTTTCCACTCTCCTATGATTTCTATTATTAATGTCATACCTATACATAGACATACAAGTATTCTTACATACAAGCAAAAAACAACCGAAAATACGTTTTTTTATGTTTTAAACGTCATCTTGCTGCCTAATTAAAATAACACAAATTAATATATTGCAGTGTGGAGCGTATAGGATTGTTCTAATTGCCGTTTTATTTATCATTGTTTGTTGTGATAGCCAATTTGCTTAACTGTTCATTCGACCATTTCCGTCTTGAAAACAGAACCCACACCGCACACCGCTCGCTGCATGGCCGCCGGCTATTTTCTTAAAATGCACCATAAAATTCGTATGACATGGATATTGGAGGTTCCCAGTGTGGGTAGCTAGCTGTTACCTCGTGTTCATACTCTGTGGCGCCATTGAGGTCTTTCATCTTCGCTTTTACGCATTAGCCTCTAAACAGCAGAGCGCCAATGAACTCTGTGTTGAACAACACAGCAATTTTCTGCTACTAATTATTTACATGAACACCCGCCAGCTTCTCTCGCCAATGCCTCTGAAAATGTAGGAAACGTGAAGACTGAATTCTTCATTTTAGGGTACAGGTACTTTTCTCGGAAACATATACAGTATAATATCTGCCCTTTTTCTCATTTAACTCCTGCCAAACCACTAAACATCCAAATTAAAATGACCAGTATAAAGAGAGTGTCTGTATTACAGAATCAGATCAGGTGCATGCAAGTGTAAAACGGTTTGCCTCGCCTATAACAAAACTGGTTGTGATCAGAATGTTAGACCTCGGGAATATTAACTCTTGGAACTGTAGCAGATGTGGGATGTTATTTATCAAACAGCGAATAGAGCAAATCGGAGTGAAATAAAGACTAGGGAGTTTTCGTTTAAATCTGTCATGATAATTTCAGCCCCCGCGAGAGGAGGTGGGTGTCTGCAAAATTTCCTGGTTTGAACATTTAATGAGCCCCTTTCGTGGGACAGCTTTTGCAGAAGATGGCACCTCACGGCGAGGAAAATCGCAGAAACGCCTTCCGGCTATTCAACTCGCGTTCACGGTGTAAATTGCCAACAAAAACACAAACAACCCAGCTCAGAGAAATCCTAGAGCAGCACAACGAGCTATAGTCTCTATCTTCGATGCGTGTTTATCGGGGATATGGCTAGCCCGTTCCACAGCAGTTGGAAGTTATGCGATATTTACGAGCAGCTAGGTGTTAGCTGTTTGGGAAAAGCGCAAAGGCACGCGACAGAATCATTGAAGTATCTTAACTTTAAAGAATTTCTATTAACTCTTCTTGGTGTTGTTTAAGTTACCAGGTTTGGTTTGGACAACAAAAGGGGTGCATTGGAGCCTAATAGCTGAGAAAAGGAAGAGAAGATACAATTTGCATTATATTGTGCCTAGTGAAGCGCTCTTAAAAGCCAGACGTGTTTTTATAGCAATGCAAAGTGCCAGATTCCCTTTGTCCCCCTGTTTGAAAGCCTGGGGGACAAAGAGAGCTACGCCTTTAACTATATAGATCCCGAGGCGCCTTTGTCCTATGTATCTTAGTCATACAACAAAAGGGAAAGAATGTTTTTTTCTTACAGAAAATAATAAAAAAAAACTATAACCATAAAATATTCTCGGGAAAGAAAACATTTAGCTTACATTATGGGTCCGAAAGTAAATTCGAATAGGTTTTCTTCAAGTGGTAGTAAAAGAGTATAAAAAACGTTACAGAGCTCGGCAAGACAAACTCTCCTTTCAAACCATCCAGTGCGTTTCCCTGTTTGAGTCGATTGTACGATTGCACTTCCGGCGTAAATGCAAAAATACGGATGCAAAAATACAAAATAGGCTATTTAATTAATGATATAGTAAAGGAACACGTGAGTAACATGGTCATTTAATCTAATTTTGAATTGACAATTCCATAGGAAGAAAACGAATTCTTACTTTCACAGCTGTAAATTTCTTAGGTTACACTATTCCATTGTTATCTTCAATATCATTTAATTTTAGCCTACACGTTGTTTCATGGAAACATGCCCTACAATTTCTTTTATAGTCATCTTCTAGTCACGTTTTGGGTGGTTTACCGTACAACTTGTGTGGCTCATATTGAAAGAGCCCCAAGAATGTGGTGTAAAATCAGCCATAAATTGCTATGAAATTGGTATATTTTGTGAAGGATCTGGTGCCTTGCTCGGCTTATGCTCCGTTGATATCCGTGCACTTTCTTTTAATGAGGGGGAAAAAGGGTCTTTGTCCCGCTTCAGTGATCCCACAGTCCCAGTGTATCACATTTGCTGTGAGGGAGAGGCGGTGCCTATGATTGAGTCCTGAGCTTCCCGCCCGACTCAGAGAAGCCTGAAATGTGACAGCAGGCTCGAATAGATGAAACACAGAGACACGGAGAAGGGACCTTCATTCACACACGCCCTTGTTCTTTTTTAACACACAGAATTGGATGTCATTGTGCGGAGTTAAGCCGCTTTGGACTATCACTATACATTGCTCACTATATAATTGTCACAACAGCAGAAAGAGAAGGGCACAGGGAGGAGGCTTACATGTTTAATTAAAAGACAAAGATTCAACATTTGTAGCTGGAAACTACCATAATAAACCCAATCTACGTTGTTTGTATGCACACTCCTATATAACACATCAAATAAATAAAAACACTCTATTAAACTACTTGAAACTACAGCAGTGTGCATTTACTGTAATTCTAAGAAAGCACTTCTTTACAGATAAAATACTATGGATTAGTTTTAATCTAAATCTAACTCTAACTATGAACTAGATTTTAAATGCAATTTTTCTTATTCTATTGTGACATTTCTGTGATCCGTTTTGGGTTTCTATTAATGCTGCTACCAAGAAAATAACTATTGAAAATAAGACATACCCCTTTTTCAAAAAGGAACAGGCTGCACAGAGCATGGCGCACTTTCACTCGAGGAGGACTGATTTGTGTTGTTCAGTACAAAAGAGTGTTATCCTTAAACCACCCTCCGCTGAGATAAACCTTTGCATTGTGCAGTGTAGGTTTCAGAAAGCGAATGGAAACAATGACATGTATTTTCACACTTAGGGTTGCATTGATCTCCGCATTATGAGACTCATCCACAGCAATTTGTACTCCAATTACAGTGTTCACTTCGCAGATCAGTAGGATAATTAAATCTCATTTATAAGTGAATTGAGCACGCCAAGCGAGAGATATTCGGGGAACTGTGAAATTAGTTTCTGTGTAATGGCTACAGTGCGGTTTAATTAAAACGCGGAGCACGGTTTATATCACCTGTTTAAATCAACATGAAAGAATTGGCGTACAGCTGTTTGTCGGGAGCAGACAATCCCAAGGAATTCTATTAATATTCCTGGTATAAAACCGATGCTTTCTTTTTAAAATAACTAGATGCCAAGGAGTTCGTCAGAGGGCAGCACCGTGTCAGCCCAGGTTGTGTTTCGTTGTGACTTATGATTTATCTTCCTCACAACTCATGGAAAGCTGTTCAAGGATCCATTCGTCACAATGTAGCTTTGCATTATACTTTCATACAGTAAATAAAATCGATTTGCACAGCAATGTTAAAAAATAAGGTTTGCCGATATTTCCTTTCCTGGGTGTAGGACTTGGGGGTATCTTTCAGCGTAGCGTAAGAGCTAATTCTTATTTTGTGTAGCGACACTTTTGTGTACTGTAATGCACACCAAATTCAGATAGTGGTCAGAAATACACTCTTGATTCCCTGTACACAGTAGACCAATTGGAAGGTTACTATTTTTTTTTTACCAGAAATTATTTTTGTTGTCAGTTGGCGATAGCTTAATATTCACTATATTAGAAACTAAAGCACAAAGATCATGGAAGAATGTGGACACTGTGATTACAGATATTATATATTATTCATATAGGCCCATGATTTTACTCTGTTGTTTTAATACCAATCTTTCACTGTATAAAGGACTAAATAAATTCAATTCTAAGCCCACAGAGTTCACACCACAGAAGTAGATGGATTTGATGGGTGGCATTGTGACCACAGAATGCTCTCTGTGACGCTTCTGAACATCTGGAGAATGCATCAAAGATTTTGTTTTTCTTGCAGAGTGCTCAGGTTGGAAGTATTATGCTCCTTAACATACAAGTCAAAATAAATATATATGAAACATATTGAAACATTTTATTTTCTGTTCCTTACAGAATATAATCTGAAATGTACTCAAAAAGTGTAAACCACCAACAAAACTGAGTTGTGAAGAAAATCTTGTGAGCATCACCAGTTTAAGACAAATTCAACTGGACCAAGAAATGTCCATTTCCGCAAGGCATTAAAACATCACCAAGAAGAGAAGAACAATCATCTTTATACAAACGCAAAATACACTGAGAACGACTTTAAACATGTGGTAATTTTTTCTTAATTTTTAAAAATGTATGTCTTCTTTAATCAGTCGTTTCGCCAACATAATCATCAGAATTTATGTTTTTTAACCAACAAAAACACCAAACATTGTGTAGTAAATGGAGAGTCATTTGTGTAGGAACCCTTCAAGAAGAGGATATGTTACATGTTTTTTTTTTGTTTTGTTTGTGTAATACTGTAAAAAATAGAAAAAGAAAAATTATGGCACCAATCACGTTCAATCTAAATGTATTGGCAACTAGGCATACTGGATATAACTTTTTAAAATACAACCTTCTTATGTTGCAGCTTTAACACTGAAACTGGAAAGTAATAGAACTATATTGTTCAGCAAATTTAAATAATTATAATTCTTTAAAATTATTTTTTTAATGCCCTTATATAATTCTTCTTTTTACTATTATCAGTTGAAACTGAACAATTCCCTGGGAGAAAATTCAGGTTGTATGAGGTAAAAGAAGAACTGTCAGAAAGAATGAATGGGTATTTCAGCTTCACTTAAACAGCAAACATAAAGGCCAGAAACACGTGTAGGAGCAGTAGTTATCCCTTAAAACAAGGAACAGTCAGAAAACAGTGTGCTTATGAGCTGTAATAATTCAAAGTAATTGCTTTAGTAGATACATGTATTTACAGAGAATTAACAATGATGTTGATGCCTACTGAAAAGCACACTTTCCAACAGCAGCTTCAACCTTCATCATTCATCTAGATTGATTTTTGTTTTTAACAAGGTCTGGTGCCTAAACCAGGTTTAAATTCCCTGTTTAAAAATTAAGAGGAGAATTACAAAAAAAATCAATGCTTCCAGTGATTGATCATGAGAGCCTTCATGTTATTTTGAACAATTTCATAGAAACCTATAAAAACATAACAAGAACACATAAAATCAAACACAATACATTACATAATAAAGAAAAATAATGGCACTGTTATACCTATACCTATAAATAAAGGGAAATATTTATTATTATTAACATACTTAATAAAATTAAAGATACAGAGCAGGGGTGAAGGGAAAGCAAATGTGGTTCATCACAGAGGAGCACAGAAAAACTAGAGGCATGTCTTCTCACCCATGAGGATATATCCTGTTTGGCCGGTAGTTTAAAAGCACATCAGATCTCATTACAACACAGCATTTCTACTGCTGTTGTGAATAGAGGTCTATGTCTATGTAACTCACATAATACAAAAGATACTGGGACTATTAGCTATTAATATAACAAAACTCCAAGGTCTTAAAATTTAACATTTTGTAGATGAAGTAGAAACCAATTCTTAGTCTTAGTTGAATGTATTCAACTAAATCATTGGAGGCAATATTATACAGTAGAGCACACTAACGGGACAATGATATTGTAATAGACATGTGGACATTTGCAGTTCTTCTATTGTGCAGCGTTTGTTACTTCTTTAATGTATTGATTGGCAAAGACCAGGAAAAGTACACCGTCAATTGATCAAGTAAGTAAGTGAAACTGAATACCTAGGTTTAAATGAAAACTTGAGAATCACAAGTAATTCAAGCGAGAATCACTTGAGAGACCAACTTCTGACCTTACAAATCATTTGATCAGCTGACTGCTTGTCTTTGCTTGCCTTTAGTAGTTAAAGAGCACAAGAAAACCTGTGAGTGTCACTGGTTACCACTGCTCTAAAGAGAGAATGAAGCCCATTTCTGTACAGAAAGTAAAATATTTTTTATTCTCCATAGTCATCACTAGGGGAGCTATTGCTCCTTAATAGGGAGATTGAAGTACTGTCTAATGAAGGCAGATACGAAGACAGTCAGCACTATCTACTTTAAAGATGGACTCTAAAGTTTTAAGTAATAATGCATTTGAATTAGGGTTAACACATCTGTACCATCCCAGTCTGACCTACAGGATCTAAAGCATGATTATCTGGGTACTGATCATTTTGTGTCCAAACCTTAATTTTATTTATTATTAGTTAAGCACCCCAGAATTTCAGACAAAATTTCCATAATTTCCCGCTCTTTCTTTCACAGATATCACGTTCTATTTAAAGCCAGAACTGATGAACAGTTGTAACAAAGAAAATTGTTCAGATGTAGCGGAGACCTGATCAAGAGGTGTAGATAAGTTGCTTCACGTGTAATTAAAAGTGTCTGTGAGAGTAAAGTTCTTAAATGTAAAAATGACAAAATGTCATGAAACTGTTTCTCTGTTTAAGTAATACATTGCCATATTTAACTGTTTTCCATGTAAGATAATAGTATTGTTCTCTCTCATCCAATAGAATCTACAAACAGCAGAATTAAATTGACACAGTAAAGCATGCTTTTCTCTGTGATTCTGATATGGTTAGACATTGACATAGTCTGACGTGGTTGAAAAAGTGAAGTGCCTAATATTAAAATATCTGTTCAGTACCTGGGACTTAAGTTGCACATGAATAGTTATGGTACTAATGGCTCTTAATTTGGCACCAAAATAGACAAAAGGCATCATGAGATCATTGCAAAGTCTGTCCTCCCCACACATGGCTCTTAAATTCTGTCTGTGCAGACTTCTGTTAAATTCTGTAAAATAATCTGAAAGGTGAGAAGAGGCAGATGGATTTCTGATGCAAGTTTACACAAACAGAATATTCCTTAGAAACCCGTTTTTGTCAACTGAACCAAACATCAGTAAAAGCAATGTCTCCTGGACCTCATGAGCTTTCGACTGTAGGTATTTCCGTCTTAGTGGAAAGACCACGTAAAAAATGAGCACCCCCAAACACTGTTCAGCAACAAAACTATGCAGTCTCCAAGATTTCTCTCTTGTTCATTTTTACAGCAACATTTCTGCACCTGTGGCAGATGTAACATAGATGTAACGTGTAACACCTGAGCAACTCCAGACTACTGAAGCACGGTGGTGGTGATTGTACCACCTTCCTTTGGTGCCTGGTATTGTGTGACCAGGTATTGTGACACACACATCATCTTTATGTCACAGAGAAAAGGCTGTCTACACAGATTAATGTTGGCTTGTGAAACCATATGACTTTAACAAAAAGTGTAGTTCCAGTGCATTACACTTACATATGAATTTTGCTTGATTTTCCTTTTTTCTACAGATTCCCAATTATTGCCCACTGCAGATATGTTGTAACTAGGAGGTTCACAGACCTTACAGGAAAGCATATGGCTCAGGGATACATAAGGGAGAATGCATAACTACCCTGTATCTGAAGTATTTTAATAATTTCACTGAGGTTCTTTATCTCTGAGGAAAACAATTTATAACCGGTAAATAAAGTGTCCCTTTGTGGATCTTAGGGAACTTTGTCAATAACGTCCCTGAACAGACATGCAAAGCTAAGACGACATAGTACGGTTAAGTCTTCTTTTCAGAATAATTTGTTATTTGAGATAGGCACCATGCTCAAAGCTTCAACAGCACTGGCCTGCCTGCCTGATCCAAGGACTTGTGCTCACAATTTTGTCAGTGACGAGTATAGAACCCTAAAAACTGCTTCACATTGCTGAACCATATCATGCATTTCTAACTAAAATCAATCTTCACCAGAGAGGTACACATCCAAGATCTTCAAAAAGCAAACCTTACAAATGAACCAGAATTGCTTAAAATGGGGTAAAACAGATGATAAATGGATGGCTTGAGCAGAAATAGTGTACCCTTTATAAAAAAAAAGACGGGCAAGCTGGCAAATACAATTAAACAACAACAACGCAAAGACGTTTCTTTTAACTTCCTACTGAAAGAAATATTAATATGGTACAAGACGTAATGAAAAACCTATGTTTCTCATTTATTTGTATATTGATACATTGGAAAACACAAAAAAGTGAACAGAATGTGGAATGTGTGTGGCTTTGGCCTCCCAGCCCAGGATGGACATGAAAACAGAAGTAACCCTTTTGAACTGACCACAGTTAGAGTTTGCGCAATTCTCTGTTCTTTCTATATACAGCAAGCAATTGCTCACATACCACACAGACCGTGTCACTACAGCCTAATCCTTTCTGTCAGATTTCGAGCGCAGGAGCCTACGGGAAGCACATATCCCGTGGGCTGCTGACCACAGCAGGGTCGGATGTGAAAAAAATACTATCGACACTTCGGGCCTGTTAATAAATTAGACCTGGCTGAAATAAAAAGAAAACAGCTTGTAGTCAATAAAATTCACAAAATATATATATATATCCTCTTTGGTGCTTTTTTTCCCTTAAAGAAGCTCCAGTATGATAAATTGTTCCCATGTTACAAAATGAAAAAAAGCGAACAGATTTAACATTTCTCACGCAGAATGGAAACCAATAATAATAATAA